TACAGGGTCGTGGTGACTCAATTTTTTCGGGCAAATTGCACGTAGTCCGGCCAAGGACGAGGGACCTTTGTCCACACGTCTCTCTCTTCTGTCTCATCCGGCTGCTCTAAGCTGTTCTGTTTCATTTCAAAATACATTTGAACAGCAAGATGTCAAACCCTGGCCTTGCTGAGCTGCATTCATGATATGTTCGGCATTTTTTTAATGCCTTTTCACAAGTTGGTATTTTTGAGCCTGATATACTGTATATAATAGCACAGTAAAAGTACTCTCATTGAACTGATCCCGGTGAGCACCTATTGGGATTTCAACGTTTTTGTTAATGTGAACATATTTCTCCAAAGTCAGATTACAGCAGTCGGTTAAATGTGGTCTACACGAAGACATGATTTGGATGCATTTAATGTTTCATATAAAACATTATAAATATGGAACTATAAACTGTATGCTGCCAACAAGATGCTCCCAGGACATCCTAATGAGAGCAGTGTATATTCTGTCTGTACGTTCATGTAAAATACGAGTGTGTGTTTAATGCTGGAACACGCATGCACAGGAACTTTGGCTCAGACCGCTTCTACAACTTTAAAAAAGATACACTGGTCTGGAAACTTGACACCAGACTTGCGGAGCGAAGTGAACGAGCTGAAGGAATAAACGTGAGGCTTGTAAGTACTTGAACTACTTTATCCCAATAATGCAAAGCAAAATTAGCACCATTAGTAGAATTGTATGCTGCTCAAGATGCTGGCGAGGCTGCTAGCTTGTAGCGTCCGCATGTTAGCTTGTAGCGTTAGCATGTTAGCTTGTAGCGTCCTGTAGCATAGACCAACAGCAAATATAAACATGCGTTTAAGTTAATGTTTGAGACTGTCTTTATGGACTGTCGCTGTAGCCCAATGTTCTAAAATTGAGTTTTAGGCCATTTCACACGATACACGATACATGATACGAAGTGAGTAAAACAAAGTGATGTACAAATAAGAAGATAGTCAAAACATTGCTGTTTGGCTTACAGCAATATACAAACAATATAAATAATTATTTCATTTTTTTATATCCCAGAGAGCATCTTTCCGTTGAAAGATGGTCACCGGTGAAAAGACGTTCAAAACTTTCTAATACTTGTTTTATTTACAGATTTCCACCTTGAAAATATGGCTCCCGGGTGGCTTTGACAACGACATTTAAATAAGTAAAGGGAGATTTTGTTCAACAATCGTGTATTTTCAATTTCACTGTAGTTATATTTCAAGAAAATTGTCCATGTCATATTTAAATAGTTGCATAATAAACACAAATTAATTGTTGCATGTGTCACATGGTTTTCTTTGTGCTTTGGGTGTAAACTGTTGATGTGTTACTGTGTGTCTACTATGTTACTTTGTCTTGACAAAGTGGTAGAGTGGTCATAAATCAAAATGAATGCAGACTGGAAGACTCTTAACATAATCACCGAACAACATTACAAATATTCACTCAACCTCTCTAACTTCTTCATATGTCTATTCAAGTCTGTGTCTGTATTTCCACATGTGATCTTCTTCCTAGTAATATAAGGTGAGATGACAAAGGAGCAGAACTGCAAGATACTGACAGAAATAGCACTTCTCTCCCTGCAGCTACATATCTGTTATCCCATTCATTCACGTCGATGATGAAACATTAATTGACTCCCTTTCTTATACCTCAAGCAGACAGGTGACAAAGAAAGATATTTATTCATGGTGAGATGAGTAGGTAAACTGATGCTTGATATTTAGCTGGAGGTAACACCTCAACAAAGGTACTTCTTCAGAGCATGCAACACGGGGCTCTTTGCACATGTATATGTACCACATTCCTTTTATTTAAATGAATTCACTTCTCTTTCAATGTTTATAGAAACAAATCAGTTATCTGGGCTTACATGATTAATTCCCTATTATAGCAATCCACAGCCAACCAGGTGTTAGTGTGTACCCACACCATTTTGTCCAACAAAAGCAACGGAACAGGTGCATGGAGCGTTCTAATCCACGTTGCGCTCCCTCCACCTGCTGTGATAATTAATGAGCTGTTTTAATACACAGTGAAAAGGCATCTTCTCTTTGCGAGTTGTCGAGTAGCTGTAGGAGTTAGCAGCTATTGGATTTTAAGCCCTGCCTCTACAGAGCACCTTAGGTAAATGCAGATAAAGGGTGATGGGTATTGAATGCTCCCACATTGTGAAAATTCAACAGAGGAAAATGTGATAGTCTGTGGAACTACATTTGCAAATTAGCTTTATATGCTATGCTGGGCTACAATCGATACACTTGCTTCTTTATGGAAAAGATGTGAGCTCGAATGGATTTTTCTTACCAATAGGCATGTTTCTAGAGAGGTGGAAGCATATAAGAATACAACCTGCACCTTAAGTAGTTAAGTGGTGCCCCTTAACTACTGAGAAATGTGTGGAGCGGAGGGTAATAACTTGTCTTTTGAACCTTAGTAACACTTACCCTTTCGAGGAGCTTTTCTTATTTTTGTCCTCATAACAAGACATCGCACCTGTGCTCTGATTAAGAAACTAAGGTTGTACTTGTAGGTGTAGTCATTAGTCATCTTTAACAATAGATTGCACAGATTTAAGATTTAAGATTTTCTCCAACAAGGACCATTTATTATCAGACTTCAGATGGAAAAGGGTAAAACATCCATGGCAAGTACTCAAATGTTATTTTTCCTCTAATGAAATAACTAATTAAAACCGCTGTGCTTCAGCCTCAACAGTCACAGTGCTAAATGAACCGACTAACTTAAAGTTTAGAGGAAAAGCTTGTTTGAAACCCTACCGTTGTATTGAAAATATAGTGCAGGTAGATGGGGCCATAGAGCAATTCATGGCTCATTGGCAGGAGCAGCAGGTTGTTGCAAGACGAGTAGTTTAGTTATTTTTTTGCTTCGTTTTGTTTTGTAATCCATGGTACTGGTGACAAGCAGTACTGCAGAACGCCTTTGAGCAAGGTCACTTAGCCCATTGTGGATGTGTACCAGCCTGCTCGGATGGCAGGCATTAGAAAGTTTTTTTTTTTTAGAGTTGGCCATAAATACTATGATACAACCCAGCAGCACAACACAGCTTGTAATATAATGATGTGGCATCTGCCTTTGCGAACATAACCTCGGCAACAAGCGGGGGCACACAGACAGTCCCCATTCATCAGTATTTTCAAAAAGAGTTGCTAAAATAAAGGTTACATTGAGTGAAACCTAAAAGACTTACGCATTGTCAACCAGGCCGTATTCATCTAACATGAAATCCTACATTTGTAAATAAATTCTGGATTAATCACAGTGCAATTGAAAATACTGTGTACGTGTCCTGAGGTACAACATATTGTTGATCGGAATTGAACTTGACAAGGAAATAAATGTTTTTTGCCACTCTAAAGGCATATTTCACAGAAAGGGCCATGTATAATAAAGCTTGTATTGCAGTCCAAGGATTACAGATTCTATCCTTTCTTTTTTTGAATGTGAGGATATCATATGAAGTTATTCCTCAGGAGCTTGGTCTTATCCTCACTTGTTTATAATCATTATTGCTGTTTGCCCACTCGAGGCATCGGCCCTAGAGGTGGCACCATATTAAAGCATGCTTCAACCATCTCTTCACAAAAAACCTCAAACAATGCAGTGAAATGCAGTGTGCACCATAATAACTCTTTGATCTTTGGCAAATTGAATTCAAATGACCAAAGGTCCTCAAAAGAACGACGACAAAAATCTGTTTGCAAAACAGCAACACGTCAGACAGTCACTACTATACAACCTTGTTTCAATGCAAATATCTGGAGGCTATGTGCTGAAATGGGAGTATGAATTCCCTGTCAGGAGATTAGGCGCCCAGAGATGGAAATGACATGGTGAGAAAACACAGCACAAACACATGCATACTACAGGCCTAACACAGCAGATGAGCCAATTCTAAAATCAATTCTTTAAGGCTGCACTAATCAGCACTTTTAAATCCGAATGGGACAACATGTGTAGTGTGAAAGATGTCCCTCCTACAGACAAAACCCATCCCACTGTGCAGATCACGGAGCATGTTTTATGATTGTTATGCATCCACGCCAACTACAGCCATGGTCGGAGGCATTATGTTTTGGGGTTGTCCGTCCCTCCGTCCGACTGAAATTTTTAAATTTCTTCAAATTGGACATGAATGTCCACCTGTGCTTAAACAGGAACTGATTGGATTTTGGTGGTTAAAGGTCAAGGCCAATGTGACCTCATGTTTATGTTATTTGACCGCAATATCTCAGAAACATATTAAGCGAATTTCTTCAAATTTGCCACAAACATCCAGCTGGACTCAAGGATCACTGAGACCTCACGTCCGTCCCATTGTCATGACATATTGGGAAGGCCTTGAACTAATTTTGACTCAAGGTTGAACTTATTAGATCTTGGTGGTCAAAGGTCACCGTGACCTCACAAGACACGTTTTTGGCTATTACTCAAGAACTCATATGCTGATAATTTTACACAAATGTCTAATAGGATAAAATGATAAAGTGATGCAATTTTGGACAAACATGGATGTAATCTGCAACACAATTGGTTGACGGAGGCGTACAACTGCGAGGCAGTAATTCTAGTTTTGTTTTTTACCTGGAAAAGTCCCAGCAAACGCACTCTACATTACCTTTGAGCACCAAAAGACAGACAGACAAAGTTAGCAACTAGCTGAGCATTTATCTTCTAAAAAAAAATCCAGATTTTTTGTATCCAGGAGTCGATAGCAACTAAAACAGAGCTAAAAGAAGCGTGAATATTGGACTTATGTTGACCAGGTGGCCAGAAACCAGACATCAAATGAATGCTAATGTTTCTCTTTGTCTGCTGGATGTGCAAATGGAAAACTCTTTGCTCGCCCTTTTTTTCTGCTGGAGATTAATGGTCTCTCCATAGAGTGTTTCTCCTCTCCGTCTACTTCTCACTCTAATTCAATACTCCTTGCTCTGCCTTAGGTGTACTTCAAGCGTGATGGCGAGCTGATAGAGGTGATCTCCTACACTCAATCCTCCAGTGAGCAGGGTGGCGGCTCAGCGGGCGTGAGAGGAGCCAGGCCGCTCATCAGCAGGGACCTCGATGACACCAAAATGCAGCGTTCCCTCTCCCTTCTGGACCCCGAAGGGCGGGTGCCCCGTCTGTACACAGAGAGCCCCCAGCGTGTCCACACCCAAGGCCAGCAGTCCTACGAGCCCAGCCCTGCGACAGAGGTCATCCCAGAGACGGTGGTGAGCCGGGAGTTCCCCCGCTGGGTGCACAGCACAGACCCTCTCTACTACTTCAGCCACACTAACATCCCCCAGAGTGATGGCTCCGTTGTGGTGCAGGCCCGACTCACCTGGACCCTCAACCCTCAGCTGGATAATGATGCCCTGTTCAGCTGCGAAGTCAAGCATCCAGCCCTGTCCATGCCCATGCAGACAGAGATCACCCTAGGTGGGTAGGATGCAGAGTAGCTAACTTGTCTTTGCATGCTATTCTAATTCCCCTACCACCTTTTCGCATCTGTCCTCTATTACTCCACCCAAAACACACACACACACACACCCTTTTCTCATTACTTCTCCCTTTTTAATCTCCCACTGTCTCCTTGGATCCCCTTGCTGCACTTGGACCCTTTACGTGTCCCTTGCAAATGTTCTCAGAACAACACTGATTTTCATTCCGCGCCGCTTAATTGTGTTACAGCTGAGCAGCTTGAGAGTTTAGCTGCAAATGCAAAACTCCAAGTGACTGACAGGGCAATTCATCGAGCTGTCTGTTGCTAGATTGAGTTAACTCAGTGCCATTATTGGAAAAAGTCAGCCTGAATTAGAGAAGTCAATTTCGACACACTGACCAATGTTCTATAATTTGGAAAGAAATCTCAGAGATACTGTCCTTCAATGAGCACCTCCTGTAAGCTCTTCAGCGCATTATATTTTTTTTAGCCTCTGAGTTTCATCACTTTATTTCAGGGAGAGAAACACTACAACAGAGGGATTATTTTTTGGTTCATCTGCAAACTATCAAAGCAAAAGACGCAGCCATGCAGGCACTGAATTCTGAAAACAGGAGTCATACTTTAAGGTAAAATTGAGCATTATGTTTTGATAGTGTGTGATCTAAGAGTAACACATACACACTCATTTGTTTGTAATCTAAAAACAAATATGGCTTCCAGCGCATCCAATTAACACTTCAAAGGCAATACGTTGGCATGTTCCTCCTGGAGACAAGCCACACAATCCTGACATGATGATAAACAGAGACATTATCTTCCATTAGATGCTAGCGCTGGTTGAAGGCAGAAAGAGAATCTGAATGAGGAGACTGTGGCTGGCACATATTTGCTCGCCGCACTGTGCGTCGCTGTCAGTATTTTATCTCACATCACCACCTTTCATCTAATTAAAAGTATCCCTCTTGCTATGCTGGTGAGCAGCTGTGGTCACTCTGAGCTGATGTGTAGTAACTGCCATTATCATCTCGAAGTGGAAAGTCTTTAATAGGTTTTAGAAATGACAAGCAGGGGTTTAAAATCTACCGTAAACAAGGCTCGCCACATCTTTTCTTGCCTTAACTGGGGTCCATTGTTATAAAGGAAGACTTGACAGAAACGGTCCAAAACACAACCAGTGCATTTGATTGATTTAAGTCAATACTACACAGTAAAACACACTCAACTTGTTTGTCCCAAGAAGCAGCTTGATGTTTTGGAAAAGGAAAAAAAAAAAACACATTCTCATGAAACATTCAATTTTTGCCCATATTCTAAAGAGGACAATCCTGCTGAGCTGTTTACATGGTTAATGAAATCAAATGTTTCACTAATATTCTTGTTTACATGCAGCTGTGCATTCTCCGATTAACGTAAGCGGTGGCGGACTGCTCGACCGTGCAAACACAGAGTCCCTCTTTCATTCCTTCAACCACCTTCTCTCAGGGCCAGCGATATCTGCTCATATCAAACCACCTGTTAATATCCAAGACTTTCACAATGTTTAAAAGTACTTCTCCTTCCGACCAGAAATGTTTCCTTTTTGCATACATCTCTGCAAAGTGTTTGCTAGTTGGTTTGTGTCCAACGACTGCCCTTAAATAGGCAAGAGACGTGTGTTGCAAACTGTGGCAAAAACCCTTATTTAACGTATTCCGAATACGCTGTAGACATGTCCAAAGAATGCTAATAAAAACCTGAATAATATCAGCATATCCCAAATGTCTAAATTGCAAAACCTGACCTAAATCAAATTTGGAATATTGTCATATTCTGAATAATAGTGGAGTATTAGTCCCGCATGCAAACATTGTCACTGAGGACTGAATCTGAATTTGGATAATGGCAGATCATGTTGCAGCAGGTTGAACTATCCAGCTTGAACTAGTCCAGCTTTCTGTTCATAGTGCACTCGCATACTGCTGCTTGAGAAAAATAAAGATTTGGGGTAATTTTCAGTTCTTCCCTTTTCATTGTGCCAAGAGGTTTTTCTGCCAGAATCTATACACATATCTGGGTAAATAGGGTGAATCTACAGGGTCTCAATTAGTGAGGAAGGGACACTCCTTTCTGTTGTACCTTTTGAATTAGTTTTCAGTTCAGACTGACGAGAGGAGTTAACTTTTTAAGATGGAAATGTAGTGCAGAACAGCTCAAAGGACTAGGCTGGCATTATGCTATATTTCTGTTTCTTATAGTCAACAAACCCCTTGAAAAGATCAAAACCCTCCTCTGTCAATGACACTTAGCCTCAAACCCTTTGGTTCCTGCTGAGACATAAATATTAAAAAATGCTTCACACATATATAGTTATTTTGAAGAAAGATTGGGTATTTTTCAGAAGAAGATAGATATTTATATTTGGGAGTATTTTCAGCTGCATGATATTAATACACATTTTTAGTACTAGTGAGACCATTTTACCCATTGCAACAGTGTGACCTGTTGTGTTTTACTAGTTTTACACACTACATGCTAGCATGATATAATATAATATATTGTTGGTTTTGGTCTTTTCATAAAATGTATGGATCTTAAGTCTAATATAAAATATTGCCTGCCTTATCCTTTAAACCACTTATTTATATCTAAGCTCAGGAGAGGATCCATTGTCGAAAAAATCGGTATCACTTTGGAATATCTCATACCAGGAAATTGTCATTTAAAAAGTAATAACTGTCGCCATCGTGTCCCAAGTAGATTGAAATATAGTACCACACATGCAAGATAGAGACAGCTGCATCAGTTGAAGGTGTAATGACATGAGCTGTCTGCTCCAGACAAAGTCTTGCAGGAAAGATTCTAACAGCTCTTTGCCTCTTTCACATGTTGTCGATAAAACAGATGACACACCCTGAGGGGAATGGGTCCCGTGAAACTCTTGCCAAAGACGCTAATATTTTGACAAGCCGTTGTCTCTGCTGTGTTTGAAGGCATTAATTTATCATTACCTTTGTTCTTTTACAGAGATGAAAGTAACACGTACAGAAAAGAGAACAAAAAAATGTACGTTTGTTGATTCTAATTAGAGCACGCTTGAAATTCAGAGCATTCGCAGACCTGCTTTGGGCTTGATCCATCTTGGAATGGAATAGTATATAAAAAGGTAATGTGGTTGTAATTTAGGTCAGAGGTTATGCACAATGGAATTTTTATTTGGCTCATATCTTGTTGTTTTTAGAGTTTTTGAGCATTGTTTAACTCTAATTGAATGTAACTCTGTAAAACACCTCGCGAAAGATTCCCATCCCTTACATGCCCTATTCCTTTTTTTTTTTTTTTAAATCAAGCCATAACAGGATAATTGCACTCAGTGTCTATCTTACTGTATACAGTATACGCACACTCTCTTGGTTCTCTCAGGTGTGTTTGGTCAGGAAATTAAAAGGAGGTATGTGCAGTGCCCATAAGTAATACATCTTCCAGAGATTTAATATTGCCACATGAGACGGAGTGACAGTCTGCAAATTAACCAATGTTGTATTTGACTTCATGAATATTCACAAATGGCTCCGTGCTCATCATACAAATGGACCTGAACCTCGCGCTGGGGCCTTGGGGGTTAGAAAAAAAAAGTGCTACACCTCTATGAAATCATGAGACTGGATTGTATTCAGGAACACAGTGCATCTTAATATTTGAAAGTAATCCTCCGCTTTGGATTTAGATGAGCTAAGGTGTTTATTATTCAAGACAAGACAAGTAGTGGAATTCATTTCTCTCATTTCATGCACTGTACAGCAGCGGGAAGGGATCCAGGCTTCCTCACATCTCCCAGTCACTGCTTTGCCAGACCGTGATAATCAAAGAGCAGATGCTCAGTTTCAGGAAGATGACACACGTGTGTGTGTGTGTGTGTGTGTGTGTGTGTGTGTGTCTATGGTTATTTGTATATAAATGTCTGTGTGTGTGTGTGTGTCTTTGTCTGTTTGCCCGCATGTGCATTGTTATTAGCTGTTCCTAGTATGTTGTTTGTGTCTATGTTCACCTGAAGCTCCGTTCCGCATTCATCAGTTTGTCTTATCTCCTTGCTTTGGGTCACCTTGTCTATCTGTGAAAGACATTACACAGTGCCGGATTTGCCCCCCATAGAGCGATCCAGCAGTCAGTCAGGCCTTTTAAATTCAGCTGCATGCCTCTCCAGCTTCTCTTCTTCTACTGTTTAGGTCTGTTGTGCAGCTGGGCAGACCTGTTGATGTCTTGGCTTGGTATTAAAGTACACCTGATGCATCGTGCGCAGTTGTTTTTTCTGGATGGTGTGTTTATTCTCTGAACCGTCCTGAAGTGATAACAGTTCCTTCTTGCGAACTGAATAAGTTGGGTGCTTAGCTTTGCGGTCTCGTGGGGCCCCGGCTCATTTCTCCTGCGAAGCCCTGGCCCTCAGAGAGCGGCTGTGTTATGTCCATCACGCTGCATGCTGCCCTAATCAAAAGGTGGTGACGTAGGATGCCAACTGTCACCATTGGAGCAAATCCCAGAAATCAACCATCATCTTCCCCGGCCATATGCCTTGCAAGCTCTATGTGACGCCATGACACCAGCATTTAAAAATACCCTTCCGTCAGTGTGTGGGCAGTGTAAAAGATAGTACTTCACACTGCCATGCCAACACTAGCCTGTGAAATGCCATCCATCTTCAGCATGAGATGGAACACTTAGCCATGTCAAACGGCTCACATGATGTCGGCGGTTGGGTTGCCAGTATACATAAATGCGTGAATGTTTTTCCTTTTAATCTTCAAAAAAAAAAGCTACTGATTCCATTGATTTCTTCTCAGACTTTGCACCAGCTTGGACTGCTATGCACTGACTTTCTGGACAAATTGACCAGTTTATGCAGGTTAACAAGTTGTCTAGAAGTGCTCAAATCTTTCCAAATCTGCTCTTTCCATTTTATGCAATTTACATGTGCTTTTCATTTGTTTGATAAAGGGATCGTGATAAACACTGCATGGACAATGCCACATGCTCAATCCTATTTCAGATATGACAGTGCAACTCCTAATCCATTAGTATGAAGCAGGCTTGTAGTCAATATCTGCCTAAAGGCTGTGCTTCATTAGCCACAGTGGACACTTTATTGCCAGATTAATAGCCAAATACTGAGGTCGTTTGTCTGTTTATTTATTTATCCTTTAATTTCCCTCATCAAAGAAAACAAGCACCAAGTGTGATTTATATCGAGAGTTCAAATCAAATTAATTAAAGAAGTCCTGGGGTGGACTTGTACAGGGGTTATTGATAGGATGGCCTCAGCTTGAGTCTTATTGCATGTGCTGCTCATTTCTTTTGTCTAACATATGGAACTGCACTGCGTGTGGAGCCTTTAGCTTTTAGCGGGATTTTTAATCATCCCAAATCGTGCAGAACCTGCTGATATGGGCAGTTATCTGTACAGTTTAGCTGTAATGAAATAACGTACCTTTTTATAACGCCATGCAAATCACTCATTTTATCTCGACACTACATACACCGGACAATCACCGGCCCCTCACAACCTCAGAATATTAGAATACGCCTGCTCCCTCTGCTGCTTGCGCCCCATTGTTTTAGATGGTCCAAATGAAAGCCATCTGGGGTCTACTGTTCACACCAAGACAAGGGAATTAGCTCCCTGAGTGTCCCTTATCTCACTGCCTCCACACTCCACCCGGTGCACTCCCATTCTCCTCGAGTAATGAGTATCTACCCAATTTAGTTCTTTTTCTCTCCAAGGGGAATAAATCCAGCACAGTCCTTTGGATGAAAGACCTGCAGGTCCCTCGCCTCCCGCCCCGTGACCTTAATTGACAGGAAATTGTATTTGTCTCCCTCCCTCTGTGACAAAACAGGTGTCCGGCAGGATTTGCTCTCCATGCTCAGTACATTGACCTTCTTCTTCATCTCTTTTTCTCTTTTCAGCTGCTCCTAAGGGTCCTAAACTCTTCATGTCCCCTACTAGAGCAAAGGTAGGGGACACAGTGCGCATCACTGTGCAAGGATTCCAGGTAGGATCGCCTGGGGTAAGTGCATGGGGCTTCAATAAAATGAATGTTGAAACTTGTGTATATGTGCATTCAAGCCTGTTCAACTTTCTTCTGGAGCAACAGATCTCTTGAGCATTGACATATTTCCCTCCTCTCTTTTCAAATATGCATACATTTTGTCAAAATGTGGACTCACATTTTAACATTTTGGTTTGAGTGTACAGAATACTCAATATTACATTTGTTTAAGGCTGTTTTGCATTTGTGTTCATTAAAGCCTTAGATAACGAAAATCTTTTTGTTCATGAATGACTGAAGTCTACCTGATGTCCATGTCTATCAGTCTCAGCCAGCAGGCAGCCATGCTATGCTAGTCAGTGTCATTGTTGCTGCTTTCAGACTTCTTGCTTCATAATCCCAAAGAAGGAGCTCAAGGTTCCAGCAAAGAGATTGTTTTGTGTCACTGTCATCCCCTGCCAAAAAAGACCATGTCCCCAGTGTGAAAGGCCTGTGGATGGTCCTGATGTCTTTGATGGGAATGACACATTGAAGGCAGGCTAGGGGTGGGGCTAATCCTGATATAGGACCTGCTAATGGTCCAAAGCACAAATCGCCTTTGTTACTTCTTGATCACTGCTTCAGGAATCTCCAGGAATCATAAGTCAGATTTGTTGTTTGATTTTATTTCACTCTTCAGAGACATTTCCATGTGAAATGAATGTTCTGTATTGTTTTTGGTTTAGTGCGCCAAGCTATTGAATGCACAGATTTGTACATGTGTTTGTGCCTGCCCAATGACCTCTGGATTCTTTTTAAGTTTTTTTCTTTGAACAGTGTTATGATTGGTTATTATAAACAGGCTTGACTATGGCATACAGCCAGTCGGGCCCTTCGGCAGCATAGGCATCAGTGCATGCAGACTGATCAGAAAGCAAATGTCCCTTATCCTTCACTGGATCTATCAGCTTTAGGGTTTCACAAGTAGATAAGATTGTGTGTCAAGACTGATAATTTTGCCTCCTGCCTTTCTCATAAAATAAGATGCCAGTTTCCCCTCTGGTTTATTGTTTTAGAAATATATTATGGATGATCATCCTACAGCCTGGTTTTTACTTTAACTGCCTTCCTCATATTGCTTGATGTGCGAGATTAAATAGGACATTGAAGGTTTCAGCAGCACAGTGCACAGACAGGAAGGTTTTACTTAAACCCTTTTAGTGTTTGCTTGTTTTTTTCTTAATGTGACCTTTTCCTTAGAGCCTGACTCAATCTACTAACTCATTTAACCTCGGTTATGATTCAAGCACAGGCCTTCGAGAACTGTTTTATTGGCTTTTCTTTTGAAAGGTTAGACAATTCACAACTAATTCAGTAGGTCATTACAAGCCATCAAGGGCACTTTTACAACAAGTATGATAAGAGCAGTTTATCTGAACTCTAAAGTGTTTGGTTTATTTGAGCATGTGAGATGATATCATTTGAACTTGGGTGCAAACGACGTGAAAAAATTGACGGACACTTGTTTCACGGTAGGATTCCAAAATGGGCACTTTATGAGTCAATAGGGAGGGATGTTGACATCTGATAGTCAGCGGTTGTGCTTGTGGTGTAAAATCGACAAAGGAAGGGTAAACTGCAGTGATATTCATACTCAGCTTTTTCTTCATGCACTCTTAACTGATATGCACAGAGTTTAGATAAAGTTGCATATGCTGGATTTGTTGGGTTTGCTTTGATTCACTATACAGTTAGTTATAGCACTTGAAGGATTCGACACCTACTTCATTCACTATGTTTGTCACAAAATATGGGGTCATATTGTTGATTTCTCAAAACATCGCTGAGGTCATCAAATCTCTTAAATTAGGAATTTAATTAGGAATAATAAGGTCCCTTTGTCTTGCCATATGTCAAGTACTTCTGATGTCCCAGTGAGGTGCTATTTCCTTTGATGTAAGGAGTGCAGGAGTGCTTTTTACTTCAAGAGTGTATTAGATGAATGGAAGAGAAGAAATATTGTGTGTATCTGTATACTGTGTTTGTGTGCATGCACTCTGCATAGTGTGAACGACTTTCAGCCCAAGGCAGGCTTTCAGACTTAACTGGGTATATTAAACTGGCTACAAGGAACCGATTTTTTAAAATAATTTGTTTGTAAGTAATTTACTAGTTTAAAAGATCCACACTGTATTCAAATAAAGGGCTACCCAGAAGACAGGGAAGTCAAAAGTATTTTAAAATCTAAAAGAAAAAAGGATCAGGATAAAGTTAGCAATACAATTGGCAATAGTCTGGTCATTTCTTTTCATTTAAATGAATCACTCAAAACACATTTAACATCAGACTATTACTTGACATTCAAAATGTTTCAGTCCCAAAATTAATATTTCTATTTAGCACAGTAATACTCATTTGTAATATGGCCTTCACATCGCCATCAAAGATTTTCAGAGCATTTACTCTTGGCAATTTCGTTAAAAAATATTGCACTTTCATTATGAAGCACTTGCATATACATTTTTTGTTTTTCTTATTATCTAATGACCATAATTAGTGTTCCACACTTGGTCAGTGTAGGATTATGGTGCACTTTTTGTATTGTAGAAGTGTGTGTGTCTTTGTGTGTTTCACACATCGATAGGGGATCGAACCACCGATCCTCTGATTGAAGGACGACCCTGCTCTCCACTTAGCGCCACAGTCGCCCATAAAATATATTGTAAGAATAGTACAAGAGATTCACCCACTTCCTGTGTCCTCTTATTATCGATGAAAATATCAACCCACTAATAGGAATGAAATACTGCTTTTTGAAGAGTTATCATTTGAAATGGGGGGTTGTTCTCTGGAGGGCTCAAAAATGTGAGGAGAAAAAAGACTGTTGTAAAGTGAAGTGTTGATTATTAATGCATGTTGTTAACTTGCCATTGCATTAGGGGAAAATTGGTGCTTGTATTATTCATGTATCCTTTGCTCTTAATCTCTTGGCTGACACTCACAGACTTTCTCTGCACAACCCTTCCCTCTACTTTCCTTTCACCTCCTTTGTCTCTCTCCATCCCATGTGGGGTGCTGGGTGTTGATAGAATGAGGTGTTCCCCGAGCCGCTCTTCACCTGGACGCGAGTGGGGGGCCGCCTGCTTGATGGCAGTGCCGAGCGAGATGGGAAGGAGCTGATTCTGGAGAGAGTGCCAGCCGAGCTCAACGGCTCCATGTATCGCTGCACGGCCCAGAATCCTCTGGGGTCCACGGACACGCACACTCGCCTCATAGTCTTTGGTATGTATGCTAAATTCAGAAACATGCACTGGCCCAGTCCCGGAGTGGCTACTACACTAGCAGTTCAACTGAAATCACATTTAAGTTTGATTAATTATGTAGAAGACGATGAATATGATTTGTTTTTTTTTTGTGACTGCACAACTTGGGTCCATAAGAATTATCTGGAACGCTTACACAATCACACTTAAATGTCACAGAAAATTACATGATTCTGTAAAAATTCAGTATAATGTATCTACAGTATCTTTGAAAAATACTTCAGAGATTTATGTAACCACTTTTATGTATGAATCATTAATGCAGCTAAGTGTGTGATTAATAAGGGATTGTATTCCTAATTGGCTCAACAACACATTCTTTTTAAGGCTGCACTTAGTGAGGATAACTATTCTCTGGCAAGGGATTTAGTCACTATTATGTCGATGGCATGTCTTGTACTGCTTTCACTTAAACACTAACAGCCAACAGCGGCATCAAAGGCCCATGATGAAATCAAAGGACCTTTGTTGATGACAGTGTTAGAAAAGCACAAAATGGCTTTTTTCGACAGAAATTGTGATGGCAATTTGATGTGTTTGTGTCATATTTGAATAAGTCCCAGAGTCACTTTTCCATAAAGGTCCTATTGTCAATAACACATGAATTCAGTCTGATTTGAAAGACTTCACATTAATGGAAAGGTTAGAGCCCACAGTGTTACACATTCAGATATGATTTGTATAAATACGGCATCAGAGTTCTTTATTCTAACGAAACATAATAGTGAAGAGAAAGTCGAGTGAAAAACAGGGAGGAGCGTCCCTTGCACTCACAATGATAATTAATTAAGGCTTCAACTGCAAAATAAGTTAAAAAATCCATCATTGATGCAGCCCGTAGAAGAACTGACATCACTTCCTTCTTGATGTCATTATTTTCCACCATCATCACTGATGCATACCAGATGCAAAATATCAGGCAAGCATTGCAGCTCTATCCAGAAGGGCTCTGTCATATTGGAATAGAGCATTACCAAACATTCATCTAACAGAGACGTGTGTCTGAAGGCCCGGAAAACGATGCTATACATAGATAAGAACAGCAATATTACACATTCCATAGCTGGAAAGTGCTTTTGACACGCCATATGAAGCCAAGTCTTGTAAGAGAAACTGGAGAAATGCTTTTTTTTCAATATAAAGAAATGTGACTTGCATGCACTTCAGCCATGAAGTGCCCGATTAACATAAATCAGGTCGAAACCATTTTCGTACTTCATTGAGTCTGTAACAAAGAATATTGTATCCATCTTCTTTTTTTTAAGTCTTCCGCATGAAACACTCCCATGAACAGGTTTTAAAGCATGTCACAAATGTACAAATTACTGGGCGGGCCTAATAACAACCCGCTTTAAGGGGAAAGTGCTACTTTAGGGAGGTGTTACCTTGGGAGGCGTTTTGCTAGGAAGAGCACTAATGTCTATTTAACACCCTAATGCACCCTCAGGTGTCATCGGCTACGTGCCTTGTATGGCCCATCTGTCTGCCTGCTCCTTGTAGATTGCTTCCACTCACGCTTAGGGGAAGTAAATGGTGATTAAGTGACCTTGGCACCGTCCCCCTGTGGCCTTGAGATGAGACACTTCTCTCTCTGCCGGGGGGCGAAGCGAAAGAAGAATTTGGGTGCTCCGCTCGCTTTGGCAAAGTGTTCAATATAAGTCATCAGGAATAATAGAGTATAATGACGGCTTGATATCGAGACTCCACTGACGACAAGCAGCAATCACGTCTTGATGTACGTCTTTAGCCACCCTCAGTGATAATACCCTCTGATATTACTGTGAAGTGAGTCAGCACTGAGGAGCCGGGCGGTGACACACACCAACCAAACTGCACACACATGCAGAAACATGCAGATATGTATGCTTATGCAAACAGGGGCAAGCAAACACGAGCCTGGATACACAGACTGCACACACTAATTTCCCTGTGCCTCTCAGAGGAGCTGCTGTGTTAATGTGGTTGCAGTGAGTTTCACACCGTGCTGTATATGTAGCTTCCGACTGCTCATATGTGAAGTCAAAAAATAGCTCACAAAGTAGAATTTAGGCGTGTTAGTAATACTCTGCAAACCCTCCTGCTTCTTCCTTTGCAATTACTTCAGCCCTCCGAGGACTGAAAACACACTGTCAGAGTGTATTGTGCAGGGTAGACGTCGGCGCTGTTTATTAAAGGTGGAGTCAATTTCTCCAAAACCTCTTTCCCAGACTGTCTGGCCTCGGTTGTAGTTGCCTGGTCTCACTGCTACTAAAAGTGTCCTGGTTGTTCTGGTGCAGTGCTCTGTGCTCCCAGTTCCATTAAGAGGCCCAGTGTTTCTCACTGGGGACGTTCCATTCAACACGTGCTTCAGAAACTTTGGAGTTCAGCGTCATTAGAAAGCCACTATCTCTGTCAGTCATGACTTATTATTATTTTTTTTATCTTACTCTGTATTTCTCCGTCTCGTGCTCATTATCCTCTTATTAAATCCTCCCTTCATTCACTGAGCCACTCAGTCTCTCAGTAATGGCTACATCTTCTGGTCATCTCACCATTGATCTTTTTGTCTTTCTTTCCAACAGAAAATCCAAGCATGATGAAAAACACACAGAATCAGAACAGTAAGTATTTCACAACTATAGCGTTGAGTGTGTGTTTCGTGAGCCCCGTGATTCCCGCTGTACTGCTTGATTGTCATATTTTCAGAGATTGCTGTTTGGCGCTGATCAGAGAAGCAAATTCTCCCTGACACTGTGGGTTTCAACATTACAAGTATTGAAAGGTAGATGTTGATTCTCATTCTGTCCTGAATGCATTTTCCCAGATAGACTGCGAGAGAGTGATTCCGTCAGGATTAATCTTCGGCGATGTTCAGCAGCAGCAAGCGACAAGCCTCTCCCAATGACTAACCGAGCCTGTCACTTTTGGTTGAGTGTCAGATTATTGGTGTTTCATATGTGCAGTAGTGGCTCATTTGCGGCTTCTGAGATTATCATATGTAAAGATGAGGGATTGTCAGGAGAAGCCGCAGGCCTGTGACAACAACCTTTCCATCTCTCCCTTTTTTCTGCCACTCCCTCTCTCTTTCTCTTTCAGTCCCTCTGCCTGTCTCTCCTCTCCTCCACTTTGACTTTTCATACTCACTTTCTGTCTCCCAATGCAAGCCTCTCTTTCCTTTTAATTCATTTCGGGTTGCTCTTTTTTCACCACCCTTATTTCCCTCTCCCGCATGTCTCTTTGCCTTCCATCATATTTATAATTCTTACTTTTCCTCTTCAGCCTAGTTTACAATCTCTGATTTAGATGCAGGCACACATGCCTTATGGTCAGTGCAGATTATGCTGTAATGTAAAAAAAGACAAAATTCTGGCTAAACGGACACATTTGGAAGTAACCAGGACTGAAATGAGAGTGGCGACTCTACAGAAATAGCAATCAGAGTTTAGATGGTCTGAGAAAAACTAAATTAACCATAAGAGGAGGCTCTATAACAGCTCATGGATGAGTTTATATAAGCAAGCTTCATCGATAAATGGCTATAAAATAAATAGAAGCATGTGTAGGTCAGTCCACCTACTTATGCATTTATTAATGAAAGAAACCTCAATGTTACTTTGTAAAATACATCAATGATGTGCACTAAATGCAGATTGTTACTTATGTGTCATGCAGCAATTAAACACCAGTATTGTAATAGTTTTTGAGCTGTTGATGATGAACTGGAAAATGAATTTGAATGATATAGTTTCACAGTGCATAATCCCTTGTGCATGTATGTGACGCCCATGTTTGTCCCAGCATACAGTGAGAACAGCTTCCCAAGCAGATGGCATGCGAGCTGTCTTTAAGCCGAGCCGCCCCAGTCAGAGGAGATATGAACAGTCTCGTAGTCTGACATTGGCTTCACTCTTTTTATCGCTTTTCCTGCTTCCTACTCCAAAAAAAACATCTTATCATGTGTCTCTCGTCCTCCCCCACACTCTGTCCCTCTCCCTTCTGCTTCTTGTTTTCGTCCTCTCTCTTTCCCCACCTTGCCTGCTAGTCATATCGTTGGGATGCAAATCTGAATATGCAAATGCTATGGTAAGCGCGGGAGCAGGTGTGTCACAGCAAGGACAGAATCAGGTCAGCATGGACGCGCAGACATGCCTTGCATGCAAGTCAAATTGGTGTACAACATGGCCCCGAGAGGTCACCCCACACGTGCCTAGTCGCATAATGGCTGAATAGCCAACCTCTCGGCTGGTGCGAGTAGGAAGGGCCACGCATGTCAGTTAGTCAGGGCCGCAGCGGACGAGAAAACTATGCTTCCCATGAGGGGTTGTATTCATTCATCTTTGTCAGGATTCCACTCTCCCGGAGAACTTGTCATGCCGCACCGTATGGCAATGAACTGAATTCAAGACTTGAGTGAAATTGAGGACTAAAATGTGACATGTTTTCTGCCGCATAGAAATGTACCTGTCAGCCTAGGCTGGTGGAAGTATCAAAAGTGTGGGGTTGTGACGTTATTGTGGGCACAGTCTCTTGGCTGAGACACAGTCGTGCAATCACAAAATTGATTACAACAAACAAAGTCTCAACTTATGGACTTTGCATACATTGACCCAAAAATAACAGTACATTACAAGCCAGGAGCGATAATCAAGTGATCACATCTGTCATTATTAATAGCGCCAAATCCTCTTATGAACAGAGGTCAGATCAGAGACAGGAACCAGACTGGTAGGAGTGCAAACAGATGTGTCATAGCTAACTTTTCACATGCAAAAGGAAAGTGTTGTGTTTTCAGTCGGCATTTTAGGTCCAGCTACTGAGGTAGAGACATCCTTTGTTAAAAAGAGCACGTTGCCTCTGAAATGAGTCCCAGTTCAAATTCAGGTTGGCAGAAATGCACTGAGGTCTGAGCCAAAAACCTGAAGGTAAACAGATGGCTGGGCGACTTGCATCTATGATTGTATACTGGAAGGGGACCTCGGATGATGATCTTGTGGTTGGATGAGCTCATTACAGAATGAGCTGAAGTACTTTTTGAGAAGATCCAGTTGTTGTTTTTTTGTTTCGTCAAACTGGAGTGGAATATGCTATGTATCACATGTCAGATTATGGAGTTCTATGGAGATTTACGTTTATTATGGAGTCAATAATAAACAACGCAATTTTTAACGCAGCCTGGTCACACTCTAAGGGGTGTCAAATACAGACGCTTAGGCAGTGTCCCTCCGCGTCTTGATAGGACCCTTTAGCGCCTGTATGAGACGTACATAGTATAAGAACAGGAAAGTCCGTAAAGCCTGGGAGGGAATAGTGGTGAATGGGTCAAACAAAGACAGGACTTTTACTCAGCAGACTGTGTGAAACGGAAAGTTGAGGGATTTTTTACTGATTGGGTTATGTCGCATGACGTTACGCGTACTTATTTTAAGCCAAACCATGATGTTTTTTGTCATCCTAACTAAAGAGCTTTCTTACCTTAACCACATTTTTACAACCTTTACTATGCACAAAGCTTCTGCTTCAAGATACTGTGCAAAAAGATCCTGGGGGCTTCTGCCCAAGCAGGAAAAATATGAACGGTAGGGATGAGATCCTGTTGTTTTATGATCCAATTAATAATTCAATCAGTGTTTCTCAGGGAACAATATTTTACTTACAAGACTGAATTACAGGATCTAACCACTACCAGATCCAAATTTGACTCTACTGAGTCAGGCCCACACTTACCTCGTCCCAATCTTGGCACAATCTGAACAAACGATTGGTTATATCATGTCACATATCACAACTTTCCTCCCACAGAAGCTCCAGTTTCACAGTCCTCTATGTAAGTTGCCCATGAGGGAGCTACAGAAAACAATAGATGCATAAAGCTGCTGTCTCTGTTCTCATTCTATTATCCAGTCTGCCTGCTGTGGGCCTTAGAACAACAAGTCCAAAGCATGAAAAAATCTGTCCATTTTTATGTGAGGATTCTTCAAATATTGGGAAAGAAAAGGCATCTTTGTGTTTGTCGAAGCTGCACCAAAGGTAACGTGGGGATATCTTTAGGTGTAGTGGTATCGACATTCTCCCGGATCCATAGTCTTCAGATATATTTACAATATATCTATATTTTTGTCATACTGATTGTCCATGATTGTATTATGTTGGTCTATTCTGTACACCCATCGTCTATTGCGTGTCTGTCCGTCCTGGAACAGGGATCTTTTTTCGGATTTTTGGAGGCTTTTGTGTGATCTGTATTTAGAGTCTAAGGATAGAGGGTGACGCATGCTGTACATTTTCTAAAGTCCTTTGATATAGGGCATTGACGTGATTGTTTATTATTGTGTACTTCAAAGAACCCCATAGAGAAATAAAATTCCAATATGTACTGCATACAAAGAAAGGTTGTATCATTATCCTCTAAGAGCATCACCATCATCAATTCACCACACCTCTCGTCCACGAAACAAGTGGGACTTCAACTGACAGTGACAAGCTGAGATCTGTCCGAATGAAAGCTACTGTAGATCGTTAGTATGAGGGGCACTCCGGGTTGTCATTTTATGTGATACATTTTTATAATAATTGCTTGTAGCACAGAGTTTTTCAGGGGCTTTAGAAATATCTTTAAAATGAATAAATATTTCCCACAACATGGCCATTTCAACAACTAGTTTTACCAGTACATTCAGGAGTAAGCATGGACTGTTTATAAGAAGTGGACCTATTGGTTGTGACGTCAGCCGTTAGTTTGTGGACTGGGGTTTTGAAGCGTTCAACATTTTGGCCGTTGCCATCTTGGCTTTGAACAAAAGTGACCATATTTGTACTGCGGAGAATTGACACCGTGGTAGAGATGCCGTATACGGCTCTAGTAGCACCCTGTCCATCATAAAGTAGCCACGCCCTAAAGCAAACTTTGCTTTATCATCTATTTGACTCTAAATGGGACCATAATATACAAAATGAACATCTTGCTGTATTGAAGAAGACTTGAAACTAGCTATTGAGACCATCAACTCATGTTTACAATGTTTACTGAGGTAATAAGTGTAAAGTAGGGTCATTTTCTTAAAGACTTCTATACAATCAGACTTATTTTTGCAACTGGAGGAGTCACCCCCTGCTGGCAATGAATCACAGTCATTAAATTTGAACAGGGTTACTACGAGTCATGAAAATTGGGAATAATATATTAAAATACTGTTTTGGAAATATGATTTGCTGATTGATGAAAAGAAGAATGGGGAAGTGTGTCTGTCTTATTGACTGTTTCTTTGATTTGTAGATGGAGCTTCACGCGTGGACATGCTCGGGCTAACGTGGATGGCACTTGTCCTCACAGTGACAGTGGAACTCACGTGAAACCTCTCATCCGAGACACTCTCACGCTGACACGTACACACACATACTCGCCCTTCTTACACAACATCCACAAATGCACACAGAAACTGACACACACACACACACTTTCCACAAACCCTGCAAGCCTTCTCCAGTCATCAACAGGCTCTCCATGCGTCAGTCGATCAGGAAACAGTGCTATCTCAGGATGGTGCTCCACTGTTTTTTTTTTTTTTTTTTTTGTAATGAAATAAAAACCAAGATAATGATATGAAAAGAACAACGTGATGAACATGACAATAACCACCCCCTATATAGCCCTGCCCATTTACACCCTTTTTTGTTTCCTGTCCCACGTCTGCCTGTTGATCAATAAAATCTGATGAGTTGAAATGGAAAAAGAAAAAAAAAAGCATTTGGATTTTATTTTGTTGAGTCAAGATGTCATTGGTGTTGACTGAAATGTGAGAAGTGGAACTGGCTGGATATGCGCCACCATATCAACCACACCCATCTGTCACATGTCCTGGGATGCACCTGATTAGCAACAAGCTGATAAGCCACGGGGGAACAAACACAGATGCTCCAAGAGAACTTCTTTTTTTTTACTGATATACAAGTATTCCTTTTTTTTCTGATGGCGCGGAATGTACAAAAGGATTCAAATGCATTAAGAAACTAGAAAAGAAAAAAAAATCTCCTTTTTGAGTGTATTTTGTGTACATCAGTGTAAATATTGAAAATAATTAAAGAGGTTATATGGGTGATGGTGAGGGATGGTTGCTGATATAGCTGGAGTTTACACTTCTCCACCTTTGTTTGTACTTCATTCAACACTGTTCTCAGAGATCATTCTTGGCTAAAAGGACAGAAACATTAAAAGCCTTTCTGTTTCTCATTTGGGCTTTTTATATCTAGCAGTTTAAAAAAAAATAAAAATCAAACATATGTCTGCTGTTTTGGGGTTGTGGTGCATGTGACGTTTGAAGATTCTTTCTCCTTTTTGGTGTGTTGCAATTGACAGCACTGCAACTCATTGTCACTGGCCTGTAATCCAGTTATTCACTTGTGACATACTATCTTAAGTGACCTACATTGTGTACAATGCGTAACTCTTACCCGGACATCTACAGTACTAGTAGGATCATTCTAGCCGCCATTCCAGGGAGGTGCTCACTCGAGGCAGCGTGTGTAAACAGGGTTGTTGCATTTGTTTCATTTCACCTGTATTAAAATGGAGAGATGATAAAACTTACCAGCCTTGACTTTACTTATACCACTGTGTTTGACATGTTCAGTAGTAGATGTGCATCCTCCAGTCATCTCTGATTCCTGCTACAGGTAACATACAGTATCTAATGTTGCTCTTGGCTGCATATCTAGATTATTGCAGGGATTGTTTACAATCTCATTTGATAATAATCTCACCATATGACAGACATTTGAAGGGCAGTCTGCCTAGAGACAGAGAATGTGTATACCTGTTCAATTACAGGCAAACTCCAAAGCTGACTTTGTTTCAGATATTTCTTATTGTACTGTCCCAACATGGCTTTTGAAGGAGATTTTGGCATTGCTGGGAACCCTTTCCAGTTTGTACTCTCTCTCACACAGTGAAGGGCGGCTTAGTGCGGAATAATCCTGCATTTTTTGGACCTCACAAGAATTGCATTTTGAGCAATTCTAAGGACACAACGTGTATTAAAGGATTAATCTATAAACCAGGTGGGAGGTAAGAGGGGAGATTTCTAAAGCTTAGTCGAACAGAAAGCGTAGACCTTTCCGTTTGGGGTATCGCCTCACCTTGCCAAAGTACAATCCATATTCCTGCATTCTGGAGATGAGATAGCACAAACTTTATTAAGAGTCAGTCATATGCGCTTTGAATTCTATTTTTTTTCAGTGAGGGAAGCAAATCTGTGTCCTACCTGCAGTATAGCATCTTAACTCAGCTGTCATTTTCATTTTGATTCAAGAGGCACCTTTTTTCACTTGTTTTGGATTCAATAGAGAAAAAGAGCTCCATCGCCATTTCTGAATGCATTAGAGAGTGTGCATATTGTCTTTATGTAATCATCATGCCAACAGAAAAAGGTCATCATAACTTTGTGTGTGTGTGTGCGTGTGTGTGTGTGTGTGTATGTGTGTGTATTACAAATGTCCGCAAGTTAACAGTAAGTATAAACATTTAATGTAACTAAAAATTCATACAATTTATTCAAAGCTGTCCTGGACCAGAAACATCTAACAGGCAATAAATATGACCCTTTTAAATATATGCCCTTGCATATTCTTTAACTTCCTGTTCAAGCCATCATCGTGAAGCCTTTAATTATTCCCCTTGGTAGTAATGGTCCTTAATTATAGGGACATCAATGTAAAAACAAGAGCAAGCCTATGTGTGCACATAAAGAAATTGTTCTGCTTGCCCATCATAAGTCAATGCTGTTCAGGTTTATTTCTGAGAAGGTTGGATGAACCTTACGGATAAAGTCCATGACGAATTGATGACTCGTGAAATGGGATGGTCAGAAAATATGAACCTTTATTTTTTACTACATCACTAATCTCTATAGTTATACAGGGACAGAAAAACACGAAGTTTCTGTACTTGTTCAGTCAACTGTTGCACACCTATCATGGATGGCACAAGCAAGAAGAGGTGAAAGTTCCGCACAGCAATGCACATGACTGACTGTCATGTTTATTATTCTTTCACAGCAGTGTAAGTAGTTCACCTGAGCTGGGAGCAATGGCGAGGATAAGAAGCAGCCTCTTTGGCCCATCTGTGAATTATTCAGTACTCAACCATGCCTGCAGAATCCGATTTCCTTTATGTCGTCTGCAGGCTTGGCTATCGGATGTCCAAACAATGCCCATGTCAGCTAGGACACCTGACACGCCCTCTGAGTGCTGTTAAAATAAACACTATTCTGCTGTTGACCGCAGACTCGCTCAAGTGTGTTATCAGCAACAAATGACAGGCGACTGAGAGACACGGCTCCCATGTGACAGAGATGTATGTTTAGCATGTCAGTATAGCATGTGGAAATGAATGACACTGTCAGGTTTCTCTGTAGACACTATTTCCATCTGTCTCAGACGGTTATCTGTGTTATTAACAGTCCTATGTGTTTATAATACCAAGTGACTGCCATTTTGTTGTTCGACAGCAAGCTTCAGCTTATCTTAGGAGAGATTCATTCTAGTATCTGCGCTGGCACAGAAAAGGACCTTTGATCTGTGACATGGCTGTGCAAACAGATGTATCCTGGTTATTAAGTATTTGATAAATGTCACCTATCATAACTCCACACCCCTTATTCAAACCATGTCTTCCTCCTGCAGATCACAGCCGTGTGTTACAGACAGTTAAGAAATGTGATCTGTCATAATGTTTTTACAGACATTTTCAGAAATTGATCTAATAAAGTATGACCTGAGCCACTCCTGTTTGCTTAAACACGGAGAAAACTGATGAGCTGACAACAACATAACTCAAACAAAGTTAGAATTAGCGTGTATTCAGAATAAGAGTTCTTCGATGCTGTTTTGGAAGAGTTTAGGGGAGTTAACAAACAGCATAACCAAATATTGATCTATGAGGTATTTACATACTCTGTGTATGGTTACTGGATCCGGCATCTAACTTTCCACAGGAGGTGCATGACCAATGCCCCGCCTCTGCAGAGCCAGGGATGCAAATAGTACCTCGACAGGTATCACTTTACACTTGATCCTTTGGCAAAGAGGCACAGTCATCAGATCACAGCAGCTCCTTTACAAAGAAAACCAGACAGCATGCCCTCGTCAACTGAGACGCATTGACAATAACATTCAATAGGATCAGTCAACCGATCGTCACCACCATGAGTGCTGCAGCTATGCCAATTGTGGAGCTTTTGGGAGTCCAACTAGACATGGAGCTGGTGTTGAAACTGAGTCTCTCTGTGGCTGCGGTGCTGCTGGTTTCATGGGCATACAGGTTCTACAGCTCCAGAGAAGCACCGAAAATTCAGCTCTGCGTCAAAGACAACAAAGAGCCAGAAAAAGCAACCTGCCAAAACTGCAAGAGGACACTACGATGTCGAAGCTCACCAAAACATGACACCGATGATGGGGGCAAGCGACCCGGACCCTCGGACACAGACTCAGCAACTGATGACCTGACATCTGACAACTCCAAAGAAACGGCAGTGGAAGCCTGTCCATGCCAAGCTGAAAAGAACGAGGATGCATTTAGTATGTCATATAGAACCCAGGATATCAGCATGAAAGGAGAGAAACTCACTTCTCAGGAGCAGGCACAGGTTGCCACCAGTAATATTTCATTTGGATCTGCTTTGAACTTTCCTCATCCAACTGAGAGTGGGATGGCCAGTGCAACGGGGCGCCGCTCCCCTCGCTTTTTTCAGAAGCTGGAGGGCAGTGTGGGTGTGGGCAGGGAGTTAAGGCAGGACTTGGAGCACCAGGGGGCCTACTCCAGCTTCCTCTCCAAGGCAGAGATCAAAGTGGAGGATGCAAACGTTGTGCTGGAGGGAACGGGAGACCAGATTGTGCGTGGAAAGATATATGATTACTATGTTGAGTCTTCCTCTCACTCTATAACAGACTCGAACACCATTCTGAGTCAGCATGAGAGGACCTCTGATTCACAGTCTGTGGAGATTGGAAGTCGTGGCAGCAGCCTCAAAGAATCCCTATCCTCTCTAAGCCCCATCATCATGCGTGATCTGGTTTTACCACAAAGCCCTGTTGAGGATCCCTCCTTGCTGGGAAGCCTCAAACCGAGGCACCCCGCAAGGCCTGTACTCCTACGCAAGGAGAGCTATCTGTCTGCAGCAGAGCAGTCTGAGCTTTCCATCCCCTCTCTAAATACAAGAGTCTCAACTCCAAAGACTCACTCTGTGGCCCCAACCAGCAATGAGTCAATCTCTCACTCAACAGACAGCGAAGGCTTTAATGTGGGAGAGGAGGAAGATGTAGAGACTATAGCAGCATTTTTACACCCTCCAGCAAAAACTCTCGACGTCACAGATTCGGAAAGCTTGAAGAATAAACTCGATCTGGGTAACTGTTTGGAGATGCTGTGTCTGGCCAAGAAACATGGCCAGACCTCTGTGCAGCAAGCAGCCCTGGGAGTCATGTCAGACAACTACCTCCAGGTGCTCAGGGACCCCAACATTTATGGGCGGCTCATGGCTGGTGAGCGGGAGCAAATCCAGAAGCAGAGGATGAGAGGGAGAAGGTTTGTCATGGTGGCAGATATGGACCCTCAAGACTGGGCGAGGAACACAGGCGAGCAGACACCAGAGACAGGGCAGAGGAGGACGTCCAGTGCGGTGTACTGTTATGATGACTACAAAGACGCCTGGCATATACTTTGCCTGATCCCACAGGAGGTCATCTCTGAAGCCTGTGCCATGTGCACAATGGATAACTACTTGTTTGTGGCAGTGGGCTGCCAAGGCACAGAGAGAGAAATGACACCCTCAAAGCGAGTGTTTTGCTACAATCCTTTGACATCAATTTGGAAGGAGATCAGTCCTATGAATGAAGCCAGGCCCAGCTGCAAACTGGCAGCACTGGAGGGCTACATCTACGCCATCGGAGGGGAGTGCCTCTCCTCAGTAGAGCGCTACGACCCGCGATTGGACAGATGGACGTTTGTGGCTCCACTGCCTAATGATACATTTGCTGTGGCACATCACGTCACAGTGAGCAGGGGAGAGCTTTTTGTCTCTGGGGGAACTCTTAGATATATGCTGCTGCGCTACAGCCCCAAAACCAACAGCTGGAAGCTAAGTCTGTTGGTAGGCAGCAAAGACAGAACTGCAGATATGATAGCCGTGGGGAGATTTCTGTATCGGTTTGATGTCAACCCACTGCTGGGTGTCAGCGTGTACCGCTACCATACGGTGGCTCGAATGTGGTACGAGTGCGGCTCCAAAAGGCTTCAGCACTGCCCCGCATTCCAGTGTGTCATGTTGGACGGCACGATCTATTGTATCAGCCGGCAGTTCACCATGATGTTCGAGGCTGATGAGATCTCCCCAGGTTTCAAAGATGAGAATATGAGTGTCCTCACTGCAGTGAAGGGCATACTTTTCCCTTTTGTCCTTTCACTCCCTGATAAGAAACCTCGTCAGACCAGCGTGTGAAGGAGGATTCAGTTTTCCATTAATGATAAGATTAGGTGGTGATGGAGTATCCCCAACAAGAGCATGCTTTACGTGAAGTTTCTTGTTGACTGAGTGGGTTTTGCTGTATGCTTGACCCAGCCCCAAATGTTACTGCAAAACTGTAATCACTGTGTTGTCTTTTCTCTGTGGTGTTATTAAGATAACCTTTCCACAAAGCCGCAAAGCTTCTATTTGCTACTGTCTTGAATTGGGTGTGGTACAAAAAATGTGTGTTCCTTATGTCACGGCCCCTGGCAGTAGATGCAAAGTATCAGACTCCTAATGGTAGCCAAACTACTGTTTGCTTAGATTTATGGATGAGCTGCCATGTACATTGTTTGCTTCTTTGATTTGCCACTCTCTCCTGCCATTGAGTTAGTTTTATATCATCCCAGATGCTTAACCTCTTTAGATCATTTATAAATAAGACTTGGAGTAAATGAGCTCATTCAACTCTAACACATTACAGAGATTTGGCAATATCGTGGTAATCTATCACTGTGTAGGTCACACATATAACTTACACAGTGGCCTGGATACAATGCAATTATCTACAGTTGCTCTTTAAATATGACAAGATGTAAATTGGTTTGTCATACAATATAAATAGGCGGGCTTCTGAAAGCATTTGTCACTACTTTTGAAAATCTTCCGAGGCTGAGACTTGCTGTTATTTTGGGGATTTTAGGTACTCTCCTTTGGAGGCCAGAAAGAAGTGTATTTGTTTTAATCTTGACTGAGCAAAGTCTTTGTTCATGTACCTACTTAATATATTTGTTTTGATATCTATTGTTTTATAAACATCAAAGAAATAAATGAGTGTCATTCATTGCATATTAATCAACACAGGTGTTAAATCAAATGTCTATTCCAATATTTGTGTGACCTATAACCAATGCTATAAAAACATAACACAATAACACTTTTTGTTTATTTTGTGTTGGGCAATCACATTATATATAGAATGCTACAAGTAATAATTTCTAAGTTCATCACTCATCAACTTTGTCATTGTAATACTGAGGACTTTAAAGACACTGACAGGTTCAAGAGAGTGACGTGCTGCTATAGCGCCATCATGTGGCTCACAGGGCAAACTCAACAGGGCTTTGGGTAAGACATGTTAAGCTCTCGACTTCCCACAGCACCGAGGCGATGCCTTGCATGTCTCATCAGTGGAGTGACGAGCTAGCTAGCTAAACGGTGGGTGAGACAGAGGGCTTCAGCTGCACGGGAAGGCAGCAGGCAGGCGGGGGAAAAGGGAGGCAGACGCAGATGGTTGACCATCAAACATAAGCATCTTTGATTCTCCCTAATTAAACACTTTGATCCCCTGTAACAAAACACCAAATGGAACAGGAGATAAGACACTTCCCTTCAGATGTTGCCTGGGATGACTTATGGCCTCTGGTTTGCCTCAATACCCAGGTCAGTTCTGGCATCAACACTTGATTTATTTGTTTACAGATAACAGCTCATTCGGAGTTCACATATCAAGTGTGTAGAGAGTGATAATTTGCATGTAATTATCCTCTGGAAGGGCGGACGTAATTTATAGCCCCTTCCTTTCTCTGTCTTGCAAACAAGCACACATATGTATCCATATATATATATATATATATATATATATATAAACACTGCAACTCTCCACACAATAAACAGTAAATTCACAGCAGTCCTCACAGCAACATTATGAGAATCATGTTTAATTTTTTTAATTCCTTTTGATTTCCCAAACAGTTTGGTCTGTTCATTTTTTTTTTCTCTCTCATGTCGCTGACTAATACAAAAGAGAAAACACACAGCAACACCAAAAAATGACAAAGAAATACCAAGCAGCATGTGAGGCGATTCATGAGCCACATTGTTGTCTCTAGGCCTGTTGTGATTGTGGAAGTTGACTCAAACAGTGATCTGGGATTTGTAGTAGCGAGCGCCGCCTCAGATCCAGGTCCTTGTTGGTGTGATTGGCTGCATGGAGGTGGCTGGAGAGCATCCGCGGAGCCCTGGCAAGGCGGCTCTGGCAGAAGGCGCTAAGTGGGTGCCTCTGGTATGCTGACCTGTACACTGTCAGTGATGGGAGGAGTGACTGCTGCTTTTCCAAAAGCAAATGCTCTGTGTACTGCAGCGGGCCAGAGCTGGTTGGAAGGGCTATAAAGGCACACAGAAGAGAAAGTTAACGGTCATGTTACTGCAACCATTAATTACACTGGTGACTGATTTGGAACAATAAAAGGCATTTGGGGCCACCCACATTTAAATATTCATGAGCACAACTGCTGATGTGTTATGTCCATACAAAATGAAATACTCTGAAGTATGTTTACTCTGCGCTGGTGCCGGGATGGTTTGATATGCAATTCGCCATGTATAATAACACCATATGATAATTACCGGAAATTGGCCGTTCAGACCTCTGAAGCTGCCTTGTCAAGCTGTCCGGACGCCAGGGTCGGGTGTTGGTCTGCTTACGCGGGTAGCTCTCTTCATAGTGCGTGACCAAGTAATGAGAGGATGGTGGGCCATTGTGGGCAAATAGCAGCTTGGATGGAAGCCCCTGGAAGACAATGCACATTAGTCTCAACACAGCCTGCATATATTGGCCTTCACTGGATTAAGATATGAAGGGCATGACCTGCTCTTTAACAATAATCCTCAAGAGGTTTAACATGTGACAGCAGAATATTACTCTAACTAGCCTTTTAAGTGCCCAGTAGGACTGATGATTTTACACATTTTTCATGACTGCTGAATCCGACCAGAAACTTGCTTTCATAAAGAGTTTTATCACAAGCCTTTATCTTGGCTGTCAATATTATGCAGAAGTGGCCACAATCTAGAGAAGAAAGCCATGACTTGCAGGGTCGTGACAGGCATTCAATTGGTGTTAATGCCGTGAATGAGCAGTTAAAAGGTTGACCTCAGCTCTCAGCAGGGCAGATCTTCTCTCAGAGATGTCTGGCTTGAAGTCCCAGTGGAGCCGGTGGTCTACACGACTGGTGCTGTTGGCTGTCTGTGGCTCCCGAGTGAACTGCGTCGGACATAATAAACAGACATGGCAAACAGGAGTGTGGGGGGGGTGTATACACGGACTTGAGCAAGTGTATACAGGGACTTGAGCAATGAGCCCAGTGCAATGATCAGCAAAAGCTCACCCTTCACATTCGATCCACACTGTTGTACAGTGTTTCTAAAGTCATTTCTCCTCTCGGATCCTGAACCAGCAGCCCGTGGCCGAACCTCACGTCGATGCAATTAGTCTCCAGCTCTGGCCTCTCCCACCAGGAGGCTGTGCTGAGGTAGCTGAACTGAGGCTGCCTAATCACTTTGCTATGGATTCGACTACCAACCAAGGTGCTACAAAACCCTTGGCAGGCTGCCACTGGAAGAAAAGGCTTTAGATAATCTGTGTTCTCACATTCAATTGAAGATGTATGCTTGAATCAGAACATCTTATTTTGACACGAAATAGACAATAAGCAGACAAAAGGCCTACCTGAAGTCTTTCTTCCGCCCAGTTGCCTAAAAGCACTTTGTTTGAATACTTCTGCTCTATCCTCCAGCCGGGTTGGGCCCATTGATCCTTTGCCGTGCCTGTTTGGTACATGCTTTACCTGGTGTCAAACGCACCTTACCGGGGAACCATGAAGTCCTGTTAGAACATGGTTAGCTAAAACAGATAGCATGTAGGTGCTTTCACCTGGTCCCATAATGGCAAAGGCAGTAGAGGGGAAATAGAAGAGCTCGGTTGCTATGGATACAGCAAACACTGCAAGGGAAGGGAAGCAGAGTATCCTAGAAGCAAATGGGAGATATCTTACATCTGTGTTAAAAGGAGATACAGTCCTTAAGACTGGGGCATGGAATTGACATTTTAGCAGTATACTCTGCATTGTTAAAATGGTGCCAGAAATTGTTTCCAGACTCTGTGACCGCAGGCTAATTTTCATTTTTGGAATGAAACAGGTTTTGTCTATTGATTTGTGTGTGTGTGTGTGTCCTATGTGTACTATATACTTTTAAAATTAAGGAGAAAACTCTGTCACTTTAGGCAAATTTTATTTTAAATGTAAAACAAAATGTAAAGCAGAATAAAGTACATGGCATGATCATGATCTTCACAGAGTTCTCATGTAGTCAACGACACTATCCACAACCTGCACTGCAGAGGGAAAGGTGAGCCAGCCCTGGTTGAAAAAAACAATCATGCCGTGAAAACCATCCACCACATGTCGCCACTTGACATCCTTTCTCAAGTCCAGCAGTCGTTTCCTGTAAAGAATCCCATCATCCCTCAGGACGTCATACTCGCAGGTGAGGATGAATGTGGGAGGTGTTTTCTGAATAAGTGCATCGTCCGCCAGTAAAGGTGAGACCTCATGTTCCAAACCAGCTTTGATAGCGTGATACACTTCCCCATCATAATCCACGGTTGGGCACTCACTGTAACCCCGCACGAGGAACTCGGGGGGAAGGTTGGAAGGGGAGAGCCACTCCTTATAGCGTGGCTTAAGCTCAGTGGGGACATGGATTCCTTCCAACAAGTCCTGGCACAAAGACATGTCCCCACTGAGGTATTGAAGGAAGTAGAACGCCATACGGCCACGAAACAATATGGGCACAGCATGATTTTGCTGGTATGAGGGCAGGTTGAAATCCGCCATCTGCAGTGCTGGGTAGATGAGGACCTGAGCGCAGGGGAATGGCAGATGTCCGACCTCTGTCCTCGCCAGCCTTTGGCACAGCGCTGCTGCCAGGTTGGCCCCAGTGCTGTCCCCTCCGACTGCCACTCTGTCAGAGTCCACGCTAAACTCTGCCTCAGCCACAGACAGGAAGTGACACAGTGCTGTCTCACAGTCGTCCAGCTGGGCAGGGTACCTGTGCTCAGGGGCTAATCGGTACCTGAGATGGAAGACGGAGGGACGATATGTCAAATTCTGGCTCTTTGGAAGTCAAAACTAGTTTGGGATATTTGTGTGCATTCAAAAGTGTAGGTACCCAACAGAAACCACAGTGGTGTCTGACTCCTTGGCGATGTGCCGACAGACTTCATCAACGGAATCTGTTCAGGATTAGCAGGGCATCACAGTTAGCAGAAGATTTGTCGGGGTCTCTTATATGAAGCGACCAAGCACTGCAGACACAACATGACAGCCTCTGTTTCTCTCTCCACCTACACTCATATCCTTTTGTGTATTCAGAAAGCACATTATGATGATACTGTTGGAAATTACAACACTTTTGTAGTTAATTTAAAGGTGTTAAGATCAACCAGAACTTTAGTTTATAACATTTTAAAAATGTACTTACATTATCAACTGCATGTGAAGAGGTTGACGTTATGTCAACATGTCTATGTAATGTGGTGCAGAACAGATATAAGCATGCTAACCAGCGAGCCCTGGCCCGTCCTGTCTTGTAAAACCACTTGTTCCTCAAGAAGCAAAGGTGAGTCTCTGTAGGGTCCAGTCTGCCCTCAGTCCAGAGGATGAAGAAGTAGAGCTGCCACAAGGGCTGATCAATAATACACCCATCCAGGTTGCTGGAAAAGCCCTCCATGTGTTTTGATAGTTTGTTTATTGAATTGAATCCGAAGTAGCAGAAACTAGAAAGTGACTTGCACCAGAGAGCCATCGCGGCTGCTGACTGGGCGTCTGTCCACCTTGCGGCGGGGTGGTCTCCTGTACACAGGGACGATGAGACGAAGGTGCTGGTTGTTTTCTTGTTTCAGCCACTTTGGATGCAATCGAATGAACAAACTATCAAAAAGAACCTGGACTGTAGAGTCCCCGGTTAGTGGCAGAAACATACAGCTGGCTTACAGAACTAGAGGCGGACACCATATGTGAAGATTAAAAGATAGCAGTTTGGTTGAATTTTGCATATTTTTGCCCTACTGCCCTGACTGTACATTTAGATTGTATGGACCCAGTAGAGGTGAAACGCTTCCCCCTATGTCTTTGGAGCATGTGGCTAGGCATTACATATTGCACCATTTATGTATTTTTTTTGCAGTTACCTAATGTTTATAAATACGGGGATCTTAAAAATTGTGGTGAATTGTTAAAGATCAAACTGCCCAACGACATATAAAAACAGCCAGACTTCAGGACCACCAGGACATAATACACATGATAAAAAAAAGACAAACCCCAGACGTTTGGGGAAGAGACTGCACACTCCACCCATCTTTCTTTCCCCTTTTTTTTCACAGAAATATAAACATAATTTTAAAGCTCAGTCCTTGAGCCAAATCTAAAATAAAGGGAAGACCTGTCCAGGCCAAAATTCATACAGAGGAGAGGAACTTGCTATTAAAGTCTTCTGATGCTATTTATGGTCATTTTATATCTCCGAGTCAAACTCCTCAACCATGTACAGTATGTGAATATATGAATCTCTCATTTATATGGTCAAATGATACTTATGTACTGTCAATTCTACTTTTACTTTAATAAATGATGTGAACTTTGTATAGCCTACCTATATTGCCCAACACCCATCCTCCTCCATGGAAATACACTAGACCTCTTCTCAAGCCGTCACACATAGTGGTGGGTTCATAGAGTCGCACTGGGACCTCAGAGAACATCAGGTCCTTCACTCGCAGGCCCGCTGGAACCGGATTCAAGCGAGTCAGGAAACAGGCCACAAACCACCGAATGAAGCTGACCTGATGACAAATACTCAGGCGATGAAGGATCCGGCCCTTTGAGGGGAGAAACCACAGACAATGTTTCAAACAAAAACAAAAAAAAGTGTTTTTGATAGGTAAAGTCAAGGGGAAAGTTATTCTCTCTGTGAGACCATATTTACTATGACAACATCAAAGAAGTGGAGCACATGACCTTGCCTCTTTTTACACTTTCGTACGGCTTGATTTCTTATCTAAAAGTCCTCTGATCTACGCTTTATCAGTTGCTGGAGGACAAAGAAAGGACAGCCATCTTTGACAAGGGCCTGAAAGAGTTTCTTTCTTCTTTTCTCTTGCACAAGCAGATGCATTATCCGTTACAGTACACTAAGGTACAAGCGAATTTAATAATCAAAAAAGGTTAATCGGAACACACGCGGAACATGAAGGGGACATAAAATAATAAGCACAAACACAGATGCTGCAAGATACTCACCACAATTGCTATGCCAACAAACAAGCCATGAACCATGTGCAGTTTCCCACTATTTGCAACCCCACGAGGAATGTCTGAATCCATCAGCTCAGAGTACACAAGTCCAATTACCAGAAGGAGGAAGGCTGCAGCGAGAGCAGCGAAGCCAATTATTAAAATTGCCGTGCCGATGTCCATGGTGTTGCTAGTCTACTCCGCTGAAGGTAAGTCATTAGGAGTAAATGCTTTATCTACCTGCTTTCAGCCTCTTTCTGCCCCTCCCACATCTGCGTGCAGTGCATTTTGACCTTGGTTTCACTTGATGACGTTTGGCTGGCTGTTACACAGGACAAAATAATGATACTCTTTATATTTTATGGCTGTGTAGTCAAAGTATGCATGTTTCCCAAAGAAACCGGGTTGTCTCAATATGTTTATGTTAATAGAGCACTTTTGTAATTGCTCATATTTCCATCGTACCCATTAAGTTGCCTTCCGATCCCAGGCAATACTTTCTCAGATATCTGAGGGTCGCTTTCTTTCTTCATTTCTTGCCCCTGGTGTTGAGGAAAGCTCAGCTGCTTACAGCTGCACCTGGCATTTTCATTGTCTGGTATCTAAGGCAAGAAAATGTTCGGAGACGCTCCCAGTGAGTGCTGACACCCTTATCTGAACTTTCCCAGCTGATCTGTAGATGGCAGTGATAGCATGAGTATAAATAATCAGTGCCTTCTGAATGACACACTATTTACATTTTATTTGCATTCTGCAAGCAGCCTAAACGCATTTGACACTCACTGTAATGTATATCTTCAGACTTTTATTCCTGTTTTTGCAAATCCTCTACCTTATATTCAATTTCAGCTGGGAATACTTTGGTAGGCCTATATGCTTCAAGTGCAAGTTGACTTTGGGTTTCACGATTTTGTAAATCTCAGAAAATGTCCAAAAGGAAGACAGCATCTGGAGTCGTGTTGTCTTGGAGTGTTTTTAGCAGCCCCCGAGAGCCTCTCTGCCTTCCCTAAGTAGCTGAGCCCAGCACAAAGCAACCATTGTGAGGCTGCTCTTAAAACCCATCCCAATTGCTAAAAAAGCCCTGCATTCAGCGATACCCAGTAAAAATCACAGTGCCAGGGCCAAAAATCACAGACTGGAATCTTGTCTGGGGCTCGTGAATTCAGATGATTAGTTTAGGAGGTATTCATGCAGTTTTCTGTCTGTCACCCCGCCAAGCTTCTGAGACTCGGCTGACCTATTTTTACCAAATTGCACTGTCACACACGGAAAGATGTAGTGCGCTTCAAAAAAATACCAACCACAACAAATTGGGTTCAAACAACCGATGGAGACCGCTACAAATGTAGGGAATGGAAAGTGGCATATGATAAATTCTCTTATTCATAATGTGAGTGCTTGATTCAGTGAATCACCTCGACTTCACGTTTACGTGTATTATGAGGCTATACAATGTGTTAGTCAGCATCAAAATTACAGTTGCTCCGATACCGGTACCAGTATGGGAAATTCCTCCAATACAGCCAAAAATGCTGGATTGGATATTCTACCGAGCGAGTGATATGGGCTGTTGTTGTTACTGTGTATCCGTCAAACTAGATAACAATCCATCATTCTTTGCATTTGTTCACGTTTCATAAAGGGTTTAACCTAAACCGGGTCATACAACAGTGATAGCAATGATATCACATACATAGGCTTAAATTATATATATTATAGAGTTTTTACCAAATTGTTATTAGTTCGGTACTCAGCATTGGCAGATGCACGATAGTTCGAGTATCAGAATCGCTATGGGGAAGGAATGAATGGAATTGGAACCTCTGATAAGAATATTAAGGCTGGAGAGAGCAGATATCAGTAACTGGCTCAACAGCAGATACTATAGGCCTATACTTGTCATTATGAGATTACAGCCCAGATTGACAAATGTAAAGGTCAAAATCAAACATTTTCTAGTTATTGTATATCTTGAAACATAATGTATCTATCTATATATCTATCTGTCTCTTTGTCTATCTATATGCCTATTTGGGTTACTTATTTGGGAGGGTTTGTGTGTTTGTTTAGTGTTTAGCTGATTCATTGTTTGTTTGCTGATTTGTTTCACTTAATTAATAGGGGGGCTTGAGTAAGGATTAGTTGACCTTAGTCTTTTTTAAGAAGCCCTTGACCAAATACTTCTCCCATCTGGAACTCTTACATAACAATGGTTTGGTTGTTGATCTTGCCATCGACTTATAACTGTCAGTGCAGCCTGTGATTAAAACATTGTTATTCGGCACGTCACGCGACGAGGTTAAGTTAATAGAGTAAAAGCTTTTCCAAACAAGATTGGGCACCCACCTGGGACGCAGCAGAGCGACCACTGGGGGGGGGCGCGTCACAAATTGAGCACCACCTCTGTAGACTAGACACCTGAAGGGGGTGGGGAAGAAACAAGTACGCAACCACTCAGGGCAGACGGGCTCTGGGGCAAAAAAATATTCATCCCCACTTAACATGTCAATCAGGATTAATGCCCATACAAACCTCCCCTTTAAATTCATCCAGGTCCTTTCACTAATGGAAGTACCGGAGCCAGGGCAGAGGCGGTAATATATATATAGGGCAGGACAGGACTGGAACACAACACTAAAGCCCAGCGGTTTCAGTAGCGCACACCGCGGAGCGTCGCCTGGACTTGCTTCTGGTGACTCTACCAGTGGTTGACAGGCGCAATGACTGATCGCTCACTCATATCGAGAGCGTGATGCACGTCGACTATCATGTCAGAGCTCCTCTAAGTCACACACTTCTGCTCTTTTAAATATGCCTCCGCCTGAGGATTACTCATGCAACTGTTTCTGAGGCTGCAGACGAGATTGTTTTTGCATGCGGATAAACTTGCAGGAGCTCGCGAGTCGCTGTTGGAGGATACGTGCACGTAAAAACCTGCAGCGTCAACATTACAGCCCCGCTAATCGGCTGCCCCGCGAGCACTCTTCGACATGGATTTGAGGAGCGCGTGTCGCATGTGCCTCTTCCCGGTTCAAATGCTCTACTATGTGGTCCGAGCAAGTTTGTTTTCGCTGTTGCCAGGCAGAAGGAAGGAACTGACCAAGGAGGTGGTATTGATCACCGGTGGGGGACGAGGCATCGGGCGTCACCTGGCTAAAGAGTTTGCCAAGCAGGGGGCCAGAAAGGTAACTTCATCTCACCGCGAGACAACTTGTTGCGCCCGCGTTGCTCCTTCCACTCGAGTGAACTATTCGAATTATTTTTGCACGCACGTTTGTTTGTTTTGGTAAGGCATGCTTTTTTCATTTAGTGTCAAATCCAGTAGTAGCCTGAATGCCCCCCCCCTGAATGCCCCCCGCCCCTCCTCCCCCTTGCCAGGTAGCAGTCCTGTCCACCTTGCCCCATGTGCGTTGTTGTTCCAATGTTCTATGACAGCGGGGATCATAACCTCCTAAGTGGCCCAGTTGGTCCAGTGGGACCGAAGACACATGCCCTCAATTTTGGTTCAAGTATTGCACAACAGCTTGGGTCAACCAGAGGGCAGGTCCGGGCAGCCCGTTTGGCTGATTGATGTGATTAAGTGCAGTGGTGGGCTGACATTCATCCCGCTAAAGGTCTGGGTGATTCTGGTATGACTGACATATCTGGAAGTGTATTATCCAAAGATGTAGGCTGTGTGTTAAATGCTTTGACTGTGTGTGTGTGGGGGGGGGAGCACTTGCACAAAGTCTCACTGAAACTGCTTCAAAGTCGTACAAATAATAACAGCCCTGCTTTGACCCTATTACAGCTTCTTGCCATTTTTCGACGTAACATCTGGCAACATATCACAACACCAGAAAAGGCCACATAATGCTTCTAATAAAAGCCAGATTAGGTTTTGTTTTCAAGCGTAGCGTGAGGACACGATTTGCCTTTTTATGGAGTGTATTGCAAAAGTAAATGAGTGTCGACAAGCTAACAAAAAGGGTTAGAGCGGAACAGAGTACGTTAACTTGGATTAGTCTAAACAAAGGTCTGATACAGTAACTGAAATGCACTGTCATTAAACAACAGAGTTAATGGGTCAGACACCTGATGATCATGTTTACTGACTGAGACTGAAGTAATGATTCATCATTGATTTTTCCAGCTGGATGTGAAGTTGAAGTGTGCGTGCTCTTACCCATGTTTCCATCATTGCTTAGAATAGAATCAACAGTTTCATAGTTCTAAACCTAAAGATGTGACCCAGTTTATTTTCTGCTCTAGTGTATGTGTATGACAAAAGCTAACAGGAAGTAAACATGGACCCAAACCTTAGTTAAGTATAGGGACCCAAAGGTAGGGTTGGGTAACCAACGCTATCATTTTTTGGTACTAAACTCTGCAATAACAACAAAAAATAATTCAGTTGTAAACCTCCCAATTTCAACATTGTTATTTATTTAGAACATTTAACACACCACACAAAATGTAACCCCTCTTTTTGCCCTCTCCCCTCCAAAACATGCCCCGGCAACCTCCAGTTTGATAGTCTGTCACCACGACATTATCCTGGCCAGCTTTGCATTACGCATTTCAAATATCACAGTGAGCGCTGCCTGCGTCAAATTTTGAAAAGTGTAACCGTACTCAGCTACAGCTCATACTCTCTCTCCCAGATACTCTCTCAGGTACTGAAATCTGGCACCGATTGATTTAACGTGAATCGGCATTGGGTTGGACAGACATAATTTAGTTAGCCCCCTTAAAAGTACGGATTTTGTTACTCAACCACATTCAAAAGTTATCAGATTACACTGCTGTGTTAGACTGATCCGTTGGAGGCCATGTTTGCAAACCCTCACATTTCTGATCAATATTCTCACTGGAATTTCAGTTTAAAAGTAATTCAATCTGTCCTGCCAATTTCAGAGAATCACCCCACTTGTCAAAGCCTTGCACCCTCCCATCTCGTCCCCACTCTCCCCATCTCTCGCCCCCATAACAAGGAGCCGTCCCTTGGGCCCGAAACGCTCCAGTGGCTACATAGACAGTTCCCCATCACTGCAGGTCAGGCTCTGTTCCCATCATCATTTCCAACTACGGTTTGTCTACCAATCCAGTGGGTGAGCATTACACAGCTGAGTGCCTGATGAGCCGCTGGTGTCCCTTTTAGCAGTAATGTGTTAATACAGAGTAGCTCTATTTTTGATCACCTCAGATGGGGGGGGAGTCATTACGCAAAGAAGAAAGTGGCGGTAATTTCCCCTGGAGAAGGCATTGAGCCGCCCAGCTCAAAGCTGTGGGTCGTAATTATCCGTACATGTGTGACACAAGCTTCACACTTCCGATGTTCTCTTAAGGCGCAATTTAAGCAGCTTGAAAACATTGCTAAAAGCTCAATGAAACACTAACTGCCTCCTTCCGTCTTTCATTGCCATCTCCTTGGGGAAGGAGCAAGGAGAAACCAGAGGGTTTTTAAAAGCTTTACTTTGCAGCTGCACAACAAAGGATGTTACCATGCTTTTCAGCACCCCATTGTTGGGTATTATCTAGGTGTGAAGGTATTGAAAACAACACCTGTGGTAATGTGTATGACAATTACTCCCCGCCTAAAGAGATGCTAAAAGGAAATAAGAGGGTAATTATGAATAGGGCTAACCTCTGCGAACTCGCGCTCACCCCAGTTTGAGCCCCTTTGTGATTTGGCAGCCGGAATTTCCTTTCCCCTCTGTTCTGGCTTTGGTGTTTTCACGGTGCGAGGTAGACCAACTACAACGTTGAGGAAACAATCCGGCGAGATGGAGACCCGGGGAGCCAGGTCGTCTTTTGTGCTGTTAGCGGGGGGGAGCGTTGCAGAACGCAGCTCTGAAACAATAAAGCAGACCAAAGCATTTTCAAACACGGCATCCAAGTTCAGAGTGCCGCGAGAGGGCTTTCAGAACAATGCCTGTAGATAGTTAACGTCTGAACAGCATATTTCTTCAAAGCCCCGTTTCTAAGTATTTTTTAGTACCATGGCAACAACTCAGAAGAAAGGGTTTTCAAATAAAAAAAAACATAGATGTTTATGTGGTTACAAACACAACATAAAGAGATCACTGCGAGGAAGATGAACCGAACCGTGGCACTGGCGACAGGTTTGTGTGTGTGTGTGTGGGTGTGGGTGTGGGTGGGTGGGTGGGTGTTGTGCTGGAGGCGGGAAGCACACCGCTCCCAGCTGGGTATTGCCCCGCAACTGACCTTGCTGTCTCCGCAGTAATTAGACAGCGGCAGGCGACTGCCTCCTGAACTCCTGCTGCCCCCTCTGTGTGCTGCCTCTCCGCTGCCCAATACAATGGGTGTGAAAAGGAGGGTTCATACCCACCCATACATTCAGACCTGAGAGATAGAGTATCACTGTAATCCAGCTGGAGCTACTGGGGACACAGAGACGTACACCCCCAGCCAGCCGTGACTGGCATCTGCGCTCTCTCTCTCACTCTCTTAAGGTCTTGTTTCAAGCTTATTAATTCGTCGATTAGAGTGCTTTTACTTGCAGCGCGTGTTGACATTAAGTCCTGTTATTAAGGCACGCCCAGTTAGAACAATCACTCGTGTATCACTGAGAGTGAAGGGGGCTTTTGCAAGGTCAATAAAACAAAAAAAAAACTTGTTTTCTTACTGTTTCAATCCAAATCGCAATTTGGCCAACGCTTGTTTGTTCTGAGGGCCATGTGTGTTGTGACTGGTGATAAACCTAATTAATTAAATAACATTTTAACAGGAGAGCACAGTTTGAGTGCTGGCTTTTAATGAGAGCTGTCAGCTTTGTTTGTAAGGCTCAAATCCCATTAAAAGCTTTCAGTTATTTATCAAGACCTGTCTGCCTTCACTGATTACTCAAATGGGCTTGCAAATGAAGCAAACAAAAAACAATCAAAAGTAACTCAAACAGCGGCGGCTCTCAGAGGGGGCCAAACCCTTATTGCTTCGGATCTGATAAAGGAATAAAGAACACATTTCAGACTGTGATCTTTGATTCCCCGGAACTTTTCAGTGTCGGTATTTAAAGAAATAGCAACAGGAATTTGGTGATTTTTAAGGAGCATTGATGTGCAAATTAATACCATGTCATTGCGAAAAAATGTTGATCTTAAATTGTCCTGCAAAAGATGACGCGTAATCATCTACTGAACCCTTGCAAGTGGCACGCTCTCTTATACGTGTGTGTTTGTGTGCATACATGCATGTAGTCGACCACATACACAAGATCACTTTCCAGACGACTTTTTGCTCAAATATTAACCTTGGTCACGGGCGACCAGCCAAATCCCACACTGGCGTCCTCAGCACTTCACACACGCACTGTTTTCAGGCTCCCTGACCAGAAATGACGGCGCTCATCTGCCCAACAGGCCGTGTAATCTCTTTGAGAATTTGTGTTTGAGAGATGAGGAGGGCTCACCCCCTGATTTCATTACCTTTCCCTGACCCCAAAGACTGACAGATCTAATTGCCCAATCACTAGTCCCCCACCTCCATCCAACCCCATGTTCCCTGCTCAAATGACCAGCCTTCCTTTAGACCCCGGGTGGATGAAGAGACAATTCATTCATACAGCAACCCCCGGGCCTTTAATCTTGCTCGAAAACTATTTGTTGGAGTGAAAATTACCTCCCTGTTCTCTAAATGAACAAAGCATTGCTGCTCAAAGAGCCTCCACAGTTCCACCAGGTCTCATTGCCAAAAGAAATTGTGCTAAACCTACGTAATGTCTTGTTGATCACCGACTGGAAAAACATCCCTTTTTGTTCCACTCATAATCAATGGGTCACTTAATTTCCGTCTGATCTCGGCACAGTTTCAAACGGGAATATTCCTTTCACGTTTGTCTCTAACCTTCAACAATTCTTTTATTTATTTTTTGCTAGGTGATCCTGTGGGGCCGAACAGAAAAGTGCCTCAAAGAAACGGCAGAAGAGATTTCTCTCTCAGGAACAGAGTGCCATTATTTCCTGTGTGATGTGGCCAATCGGGAGGAAGTATACAAGCAAGCCAAGGTTGTAAGAGAAAAGGTACGCTAGCTTAGTATTTATGAAGACCTTTCTACTTGCACAGAGAGACATGTCGTTTGCACACGGTGAAACACGTCATGAAATATTTCTCTCTACCTCCTCTGTATGTATATTGGCTCTGAGCGGTTCTGTCTCCCATCTGGTGTATAGATTACACCTCAACAGTAATATCTGAATAAGAGCGGGGGATATTGCTGACAGCTCTGGCACAGCACAACTGTATCATCTCCTGAAAGCAGACAGAAAATATTATAAGACCCGTGAAAGCGCTCTTCTAATCGTGGCGTGCTCTTTAAATCTAAGGTGGGAGATGTCACGATATTGGTGAACAATGCCGCCGTGGTCCACGGCAAAAGTCTGATGGACAGCGATGACGACGCCCTTCTGAAATCCCAACACATCAACACCATGGGACAGTTCTGGGTAAGACTTGCAGAGGCACTTTGCACGCAGAAGTAGGGGGATTCCTCATAGCAGATTTTCCTTGTTATTTCTGTGATTATACCATGGCATTATATACAAAAGGCATCCCCAGACTTGTCAATCACGACCGCTATTATGGCAGGTTAAGTGGGGTATTTCCAAATTGCCTCTCAGCCCCTGAAACATCAGCCGGATTTTGAAACTCGTGGCATTTTGATTTTGAATGGAGATCAAAAGACTATGTCGTATGCAGACAGAAATGCAATTATCAACTAAATGGAAATGGAAATTTGATCTGGTTACACTGTGGGCCTGATTCTCTTGTCTGTTCTACTTTTTAGTCCACTAAATATATTTCCACGCTTCCTTCCACCTTGTCTTCATTCTCCCTTTTTCTTTTTCTCCTCCCAGACTACAAAAGCCTTCCTGCCTCGGATGCTGGAGCTGCAGCATGGCCATGTAGTGTGCATAAACTCCATCCTGTCCCAGTCCCCCATCCCTGGGGCCATAGACTACTGCACCTCCAAGGCCTCATCGCTGGCCTTCATGGAGAGTTTGACGCTGGGGCTGCTGGACTGTCCCGGCGTTGGCTGCACCACTGTTCTTCCCTTCCACACCAATACAGAGATGTTCCAGGGCATGAGAGTCAGGTAATTAAAGATGCTAGGGGTAATTACCAGCCGCGACAGGGGTCTTGCTTTCACCTTGTGAGTCTGTGTTTGAGTCATCGTGGCAAAATGGGGTCCTGGAGACACCTGCTACAGTGAGAAATGCAACAGAAGCGGTTTTGAGAGATTTGCCAGGTGGACAGACACAAATGTTGTCACTTCGGTAGCGTCGCAACAGTGAAAGAAGCAGTCGAGAAACGTTGCAGGTGTTTATTTGAGGTCAAAACGAATGCAGAGTTTGAAGATGGGCGTGTTCCAAGCAAGGGCACCAGAAGTTTGGTACATCGCGGCTATAGTGATCCAAGTGGGAGGTGGTCTCTAGTTTTTCTTTATTGTTAACCACACTAGTGGCGTTGGTTCTTGGTAGGAAGGCTATCTTAGATTTTTTTTTCCGACCAATAGCCGACCTTCATTAGACAATCACTTACCGTTAACCTTGCATGCAGCGTTGCTGTGGTTGAAGTGCCCTACAAGCTGTGAAACTGCAACAATAACCGATTCTCAAATAGGTTGAATCCATTATTCATCGCCAGCTGCAGTTTAAGCACGAAACACTCTCATTTCAATTTATTTATATAGCGTCAAGCAGGGCTATGGCTGCAGGCGCAATCACAATCCAGGTGGAACCCCGATCCATGGAAACATGCGAGAGGAGAAGGCACAAAGACTTGGAAGAAGCCAAGTTTCTAACTTGCATTAATAGGATGTGAAAGCTTTACAGATGGAAAAATCCAGCCACTGAGTCGCCAGTTCACCTGTCAGGGAGAGTTAGCTGCGACGATGTTGCATGCATTATCGGGGGACACATGCAGCCGGCTTCCCAGTAACTCTCCCCTGCGTCAGTTCATTTGGCTGGGTACGTGACGAAGAGTATGAAGTTAGCAGCAACGTCTTAGCTGTAAAGGTAGCAGTGTGTACCGTTTATTTTTCAGTGAATTAAGCGCCGAAAAGCCACAAGCTCCCGTGTCTTGCTCGCCACCTGCAACCTTAGCCCCGAAATTAGCAACAACTTCAGCACAGTTTCACTTAAGGTGGGCTGCCCTTTTAAGGTGGACCAGCTATTCTCACTTTAGTGACTAGCCACTCCTCCGTGTTCCTTTTATTTTAACTGTTTAAATGACAACATGAATTCATATTGGCGTTTAACGGTTAGTTATTAACATTCCTTGCGGTCATGGTTCCCATGGTTCTTTGTTGAGACACTGAACTTTGATGCCTTGAACTCTCTAAAAGTACTGCACTGTGTTAGTTGATTTGCATCTTAAACGCAGAATGTTCTTGTATGGGTGTATGATTACCCCAACATTGTTGTGTAGTAGCCATTGGAAACATCAAAATATTTAATGTACATTTTGGCAGCTTGCAACACTGTTGCTTTGTTGCCTTTAATGATTTCTTAGCATTATTGCTTCCTTGATTTTATCAGAAAGATCATCACTTTGTCTCAAAAGTACTTTATTTTCTTTTGAAGGTTTCCCCAGCTCTTTCCACCTCTCAAACCCGAGGTAGTGGCCCAGAGCACCGTGGATGCAGTCAGAGCTGACAAGGCCTTCCTTTACCTGCCCTGGACTATGCATGCCCTTGTCATTTTAAAAAGGTAAAAAAAATAATGCCATTTAACATTTTTTCATGTGTTGTTTTTATCACCACAATCATTTCATGTCTAACACTCCATGCCTGGTCTTTATGCACTTTTTTTCTTTTTTTAGCTTCATGCCACAAGTTGCACTTGAAGAAATCCACAAGTTTTCTGGGAGTTACACCTGCATGAACACGTTCAAAGGGAGGACATGAACCTGGATTGCACACAATGTGAGAGAGACCCAAACAGCTCTGGGGTGTTGTGAAGGGAAAATGGACCTTAAGACATCTGGAAGTGGAGGAGGCCCTGTGATTGTGGGAAGACAAATACTTAGGGGACATGCAAAGACGGTTGCTCCTGCAGGTAGAATTAATTGATAAAATGCAGGGTGTGTGTGTGTGTGTGTGTGTGTGTGTGTGTGTGTGTGTATGTATGTGTATGTGTATGTGTATGTGTGTGTGTGTGTGTGTGTGTGTGTGTGTGCGCCTGCCTGCCTGCCTGCCTGCCTATGTGTATAGTATGAAGGACTGAATGCCATTCTTACTTTGAACAGAAGCCATGAATAGGTCTGTACCAGTAGTTATTCTGGGAGTTTTTTCCTGTGACACTTGTTTTAGCCTGTTTTTACGCTTCTTTTTTTCCTTTTAATGTCTTTGAATCAAAAGAAGATAATAAAACTGAGTTTTAGAAGACTCACTGTGTTTCTTTGTGCATGATGAAAATAGAAAAAAATAAAACACTTGGGAGGTATTCGTTGTTTTGTGTCTGGGTTTTGACTCCCATGGCAGTCTGACAGCACCTTTGATTTATTCCAAGCATAAGATCAGTGACTGTGAGAGACGATGTTGTCAAAACATAAAACATACGCTCGGGGGGGGGGGGGGGGGGGGGTTGTCTTTGTCTTTTTCTTCTGTCAATAAATGGTGAAGGGGGGGGGGTCGTGTAATTCTCCATAAACATTGTGAACTCGGAACAAGTCGGTCAGGACCTCCTCACATGTGCGCAGTGGTCTAAACTACATTCAATTACAACAATTATTGAGCCCCGAAATGACAGCAGTCATAAAAAAAAAAGCGAGCTATATATGTCTGCTATGAAGATGACGATATATCAAATGTGGGTTTGTTAGCACGGCTCGCTCTCATACAATAGTGTCTGCAACTGCTACACACTTGTGAAAGTAGATTATATATATGTGACTTGCATTAGCAAAACCCAAGAGGCTAATGTTCCAGAATAAAAAGAGACAATATGGAGCCTCTTTTATTTTATTGCATATGAATCTGAACATTTTCCAAGGCTTTAGCTCAAAACAGAGGGAGGGAGCTGTGGAAATTCACAATAGATGAGATGCATCAATGCCAGAGTCTCACAATTACCTTTTGATAGAGGATATTATTTAAGAATGAGAAAAAGCATCTTCAAATTGCAAAGAGCTAAGTTTATAGCTGAATTACTAAAAAGTTTCTCTTGTGGACAACTCGGAACTGAAATTAAGCAAAGGTCTGCTCTTTGGGGAGTTGCCTGTGGGGAACAGTAGCTAATGAGCACCTTCAACCAAAGTGGAGAAACAGATCTGTGAATTCATATTATGTGAAATGAAAAGAAACCATATTAACATGCAATATTGTTGATGAAAATAGACGAGACTAAAATTTGTTAATTATTAAAAAATACAAAAAACGTTACCTTCTTTACTTTATAACCTTGACCAAAATTTAGAATTTTTTTCAATGCAGCAGTTTTGTGCCCCGTGGTGTGGTGCCGTTTTGGGACGACACCGGCAGCATACAGTGAACACAGTCAGGAAGACTCGGAGTAACTGACTTGTAAAAAAAGACCCAATGTGATATGGTGGCTACACTAGATTGACTGAAATGTTCGATATAATCTGATGACTAGAAAAGACTACAATTTCATGAACTAAAACTAGACAAAAATAGGTAGGGTTTCCTTTGACTTGGACTCCAGACTTTTAGTCAACTAAAACTCGACTAAAAAAACAGGATGGAACATTTGACACAGGTCAAAGGCTAAGACTAAATAAAAAATGGCTGACAAAATGAACACTAGCTGAAATAGCCTTGGGGACGCACACACCACCAGCACTTGCAACTGTGTCCATGGCAAGGATGTTTGGTGGATGCCGAAGGGTAGATGTCCTCTTCCTGTGTTCAAATGTCTCTTTCCACTCCACTCATATTTTAGTATAGGCTGCACATTTTGTTGACTGAACTTGTATTTATTGTGAACACATAAAGACACCAAACCTTAAAAGGAATACCATTTTGATCATCACATCCAATTATGAGCAATGAGCATTTTAGCATATAGTAAGCATATATCCCTAAAAACGAACTAGCTGGTTAAACAATGTGGTTTATGCATGTTTGGCAAGGACTGCTTGAACTTCCCGGACAGTCCTACATTGGAACCTCAGTTACCCAGGACCGATTAGTCAATGTGTGTGCCACCTAGTTTTCTCCAAATGTCTATAGTTACAAGACAAAACAATGCCTATTATAAGCTCTTGTCCTTGCTGTTATGTGTGACAACTGTGATTTTGAGAATCACTGTCCAAAACATGTAGGCCATACATAAAGGTTACATATTCTGACAAGCAAAGATGAGACCAATGGAGAGAACCAAACCCAAATGGAAGCGAAATGAAAAGTTCAGGTTATACTGTTCTACATAAACATCATTAGGCCAAAGACCATTAGGGATCATGAGCCGCAGTAAAATAAGTAATAAGGTTGCGGGGGGGGTGCTCTTTTTCGCCTCACAGATGGTAGACAGTGAATCAGAACTCATTCATTTTTAATGAGATGAGGCTAAAATCTGACCACATTGAGGTTTATTGCAGTAAAGGAGGGGGCTGTGGTAGAAAAGTAAATACCGCACTCAGCTGCAGTTTTCATAACGTCAAGCTAAACCTCTTTATTACGTCAAGGCTGTCCATGTTTAATTTAGGAAAATATACAAATAAACAGTGTGGCAGGACTTGAAACACGGAACACCTTTAATGCACCAATTGGAATTATCACAGCCTATAATACTGCTCTGCATTATATTACATTCGATAACATGATTGTGGATATTAAAAGCTCTCTTTTACATCAAATAAAATAGGAGCTAATGTTATTTGACAAAAAAAGCATTTCACACTGTAAAGAGATGCATGTGTTGATTGTTTTAAGAACACACAAAGCACCTTCTTATTACCAGTAGACAAAACCATTTCATTCCTTCCGTTTCCTACTGAGACTGTAAATAGTATATTTAGATCAGAACAAAGAGCAATGGTCAGTGGAAATGCAACGGAGCGCAAATTTGTGCTTATCAGTGGGCAGTGCTGTTTCCCTCCTCGCCGTGAGGTTAATCATGAAGCCAGTAATCTTTAACGTAGAATGAGAATACGCAGCATGGTAATGAATACAGATTTTCTGCTCAATATTGAAGATTGTGAAACCAGCCAACATTGAGGGGACGTAAAGTAAAATGTGACAATAAACTTGAAAGACAAGTGAACTCCATGTGGTCTTAGGGCTCTGCAAAATAAACGCACACAGAGCTCGTACACTGAGAATGTTCCCCTTGCTGCCTTGACAGTAACACTTCAACCCCTAGTAATAAACACATGAGGGGATGTGGAGCTCACAGATCCAGTCACACACAGAGAGAGAGAGAGAGAGAGAGAGACACCCCGTATCCGAGCACAAGTCAAAGCAAGAACACACCACCAAAGGCGAACCCATGAGAGTGGCTGTAAAAGCTGGGATAGTGCCTGCCCTTTGGTTGCCAGACAAGGCTCATAAACATTCATTTGAATCCCGGGCGAACCATAAATGCCCTCCTGTGCACTCACGATAGGGCCGCACGTTGTGATCAGTAGGTGATCCGCACTGAGTGGGGAGGGGGACGGGCTCTGCCGAGACTGAACCGGAGCCTCCTCCGAGCCGAGGGCCTGTTTCTCATTCTCTGAGCGAGCTCTTGCGAAAGCAGAGGGGAAGCATGTTGGGATGGAACTAGATCAAGGAGGCATGTAGTTCACGTGTGCTGTAGGAGGAGGAGGAGGAGGAGGAGGAGGAGGAGGGCTAGAATGGTTGGGAAATCTCATGGGGAAGGTTCAGAGCAAGGTTAGCCAAATACAGAATAAATCAAAGGGGGCTTGGAGAGCCCTTCCCCTGCTGAAGGCGCTCAACTCCAGGGTGACTGACCAGGCGCAGGTGGAAGCACAGGAATTACGGTTTGGTCACATGCGGCTGTCTCAGCTGTGACCACATTCCCAGGTGTCTCTGCTGGACACTTCAGTTTTATTTAGGTCTGCACTGTGGTCTCAAAACATGTAATTAGAAGTCAGTGTGGGGCGACCGTGGCTCACTGGCTTAAGAGGGTTGTCTGGTAACCGCAGAGGATCAACGGTTCGATCCTCGACTGGGATGTGCCAAGTGTCGAAGTGTCCTGAGCAAGACACTGAACCCCAGGCTCCCTGGGCGCCTGTCATTGGCAGCCCACTGCTCCCTATATACAGGGATGGGTCAAATGCAGAAGTCAAATTTCGTGTATATGTATATGACAATAAAAAGGGTTTCTAGGGTTTCTTAATATAAAAAAAAAAGACTGCTGCGAATGGAATCATCCAGTGGTGTATAAAGTACCCAAAAGCCATACTTGAGTAAAAGTAAAGATACCTTACTGGAAAACTACTCCAGTAAAATTCACCTATTAGAATACTACTTGAGTAAAAGTCTTAAAGTATCTGATATTTATTGTAAGTATCAAAAGTAATTTTCTGATATTAAATGTACTTAAGTATTGAAAGTAAAAGTACAAGTAAATGCTGTTAATAAAAAAGCAAAGGGTCAGAATTTTGAGAATTATGAAGTCTATTCTTTTAAGTGCTGTGGCACCATGACCAGGAGCTGTGTTGAAAATAATTGGGTTGACTGTGATCCATCCAGGAGCAACAATGTTCAACATAATATATTGTACATAAGTATACTTTTGCATCTACTATGAACTTATCATCATAATTCTCCGAAAAGCAATGTGAAACTATGAAGGAGTTGTAACAGTGCGTTTATAAGTATGCTCATTCCGACTAGAGGATGTAGAGGGCAAATGCATAATATTGTGTTCAGCAAAACATATCCACTTGATGCATCAGGTCAGTGTTGTGAGAAAGGACACCTGCCTTGTAAACTCCTATGGGCCTGATTTGAACACAATAGGCAAAGGTTTTGCTCAAGCTGAATCTGCAATTGGGCGACTGCTACCATCATAACTCCATCTGATCATCCACAAAATGACTCAAATATCAAAACATGATCAATACTAAAGCAGCACCGAAAGTAACAACCCAGTCATTACTGGAAACTGAAAAATGTCCTGTTCATCTTCAAAAGAAGTTGGTTTTCAAAATTGTGAGAATTCAGTCTCGCTCTTCTTGGGCTGAAGACTAGTCCTGCGATGCTAACTAGCCTTTCACAGGCCGCTGAGGCAGGTAGAGGTGTGTTCAGCTTCACACACAGCTTGCGCACAGCTGGGAAGGATTTCCCTAATGCTAACCCTAATGCTAACCCTAATGCTGCGCTCTCGCGGCTCCTGTCAATCCTATGGTGTGGTGGCTAGCTATAGCTAACGTTAGCCAACTAGTGCTGCACAACTGTCAACACTTCCTCAGCTCACTAACTCACTAGCGATCCACGGGTGTTGGTCTTCGTCACCACCGTAGTTTGTTGCGGGAGTAGCAGGTGCTTCCA